CAATGAAGTGGCGAGCTAAGCCCTACATCGTTCAGCATAATACTGTGAATCCGGGTGGAGACCTGGTCGGCCAACAGTGAGGCAAGACCTGGGGACTCATGGGCACAGAGTCAATGACACAGCCACAGAGGACTAGAATGGAGAGCGGGGTGGCCAGCCGATAAGAAGAGGGCGGACATATGCAAGAACACCCACACTTGCAGATGATACCCACTTGACCTGGCTTCAATGACTGGATGAACAGAGCTCAACCCGAAGAAGAAAGAAGAGGAAAAAAGTGTCATCTGATATAATTAGATAAACATGACCTACACCTATAAATGCAGTAGCTCAAAAGAGGAAACAAATCCCTACTGCAAGAACTATTCCCATCCCCTCCACACAAAGAGTAGACAGGGAAGGGCAACTTGGACATTGGCTACCCAAAATGGGAGTAGGGATACAAAGGTAAGAAGTGATTGGCTTACAAGCTTTCAAGAGGGAACCTAGATACAAAGGATGTGGAGGAAGGTAGAGTCTCCAGTGAATAGTATCCAGCCTGTCCAGGAAGGGCTGATGAAATGAAATACAGATGGATTTCTCGTGATGCAATAGTGAATACTTGTTATCAGGACTGACTGTGAGGGTTGGAAATCTAAAGGTGGACATTTTGTAGCAAGGAGGGGAGTGATTAACTTTTCAGTCTAGGAGCGGAGGGCCCTGGGACTATCAATGGAGAAGAGCAGAGAGCAGGATCCTACCCAGAGAAGCAGTGAGGCCTGAGATGGAGGCAGAGAAGACGACGTGAAGAGATGGAGTGGCTGGGGACTTGGGATCTAGAGAGGGAAAGGGGCTGAGGACTGTGGGGGAGGGGGGCAGACTTGCAGGGTACACCCTTTGGTTGGGTGAGGATGCATGGACAGGATGGTAACTATGCCAATGAAACGATGTATGATAGAATGGATGTAGGACTAATGTTATCCCATGTAGACTATCACACAATTCACAATAAAACATTCATTTTTTTTTAAAAAAATGATGAAATGAAAGAAGGAAGCTAAGACAGTGGTCAGGATAAAAGCCTTAACCAGGACCAACAGTGAAGGTAGGGAGGAGGAGTTGATATCAATAAATATTTAGAAGGCAAAATTGGAGGTACTTAGAGATGACAGTAATTAATGTCTTTGGGTAATAGAAATTAGCAAGTTTGATGACTGACCTTAGCAAAATTCTGTAGCCAGTTATCACAAATGGTAAGTGAGTATTTGAAATTCAAGTGGTAGATTAATTTAGAGTTAGAATAGCTTGACTATGAATAAATCATACTACATATGCTTCATTCCTTACTTAGAAGAATATATATTTTCCATGATAAAATAATAAATGCTTGTTGTGGAAAATTTAGAAAATATAGACAACTGAAGTAGGAAAAAACTAATACTGTTGTCAGCATTTTTTCTAGAAATATGTATTCTTGACTTAGTCATGAACATTCTGTCCACTGTGACTAGCTGTGGATGCTAACCTTCTCTTAACATTATTATTTAAACATTTATTTCATAGCAAAATTTTTATAAATGTCAATTTCAATGGTTAGATATTAGCTTTCTGTTGATGTGCTTTCATTATCTTTTTTTATATTAAAAATTATTTCTAGTTTGGACGTATTTTCAATAATAATTTAATTGATACCTTTATTTGTAAAGTTTTTATCCATGTCTGGGGAAATTCTTTTATGGTAGATTTTTAGAGAGTGTTACAATGTCAAAATAAATGAATATTTTAAGAATCTTGTTAAAATTTTCACACTGCTTTCCAAAAAGTGTTGTAAAAATTTACAATGCCATTAGTGATGTTGTTGTTGTTAAGTGCTGTGGAGTTGATTCCAACTCATAGCGACCCTGTATAGGGTTTCTGAGGCTTTAAAAAAATCTCTATGGGAACAGAAAGCCTTTCTCCCATGGAGCGGTTGGTGGACTTCAACTACCAACCTTGTGGTTATCAGTCTAGTGCTTATTGTACCCATTTCACAACAACCTTTCCTCTACAGAGTATTATCACTAAAAACAAAGAAAATCAAAACACCATACTAGCTAGATTAATGAAAATACCATTTAATTAAATTATTTTTGTTCTTACAAATATGAATAATACCTACTTATGGGAGAAAAGGTCTGCTGTGCATAGGGTTGCTATGAGTTGGTGCCAACTCGATGGCACCTAACAACAACAAATGGGGGAAAAATTCAAACAATATAGAAAGGCATTAAATAAAAAAGGAAAGGTCTTCCTCCTTTCACCAACCCAAACCACCCACTGCTTCCCCAGAACAATCACTGTAAAAACTTTCTTGTGTATACTTTCCTGAAAGTTTTTATTAAAGTCTTAGCAAACTAAAACAAAAAACAGAGGATGTTAGTATGGATAAAATACTGTGTATTTCCCTGGTCAATGGTAATGTTTGTTTTTATTATGAATTGGGTGAAGGTTTAGAGAAAAGATCAGCTTTCCACTCAGCAATCATACATACACGTTTTGTTTAGTCTCATTGATTGCAGTCCCCACAATGTAACACTTAACCCACTTCCTCTCGCCTTCCTATTTCCATTACTTCTTCTTTCCTAAGCCTTCTGGACTTTTGTCCTTTGGCAAATTATTCTCAGGTGTGCATGCCTCACTAGTGTTATTGATCTCCCTTGTGAGCTCCTGATCACAAGCCATAATGCCGGAGAAAGATGAGGCTGTCTGCCCCCATAAAGATTTAGTCTCAGAAACTCTATAGGGTCGCTGAGTCAGAATTACTTCATGTCAGTGGGACTGTTTGAAATTTGAGTTACAGGAGTGAGTTTATTTCCAAACTTGAAGGGTGACTAAGGGTCATAGTGTCCAAGGGTCCATCAGTCTCTATGCAACCAGTAAGCCTGGTCTTTTTGAAAATTTGAATTTTGTTCCACATTTTACTCTAAGACCTTCTAATGTGATCCTTTTCAGAGCATTTGACAGTGGTAGCTGGGCACCATCTAATTCTTGTGGTCTCAAGGTCATGTTTGTATGATTCATTAGTCCAATAGACTGTTTCCATGTGTCTTCAATTCTCATCACTATTCTTTCCTTAGGACAGAGAGACAATAGTTGCACCTTAGATGGTTGCTCATGAACTTTCAAGATCCCAGTCGCTACTCACCAAAGTAGGATGTAGAACATTATCTTTGTGGACTATGTGATGCCAGTTGGCCTTGGTGGCCCTTAAGACTAAGGTCCTGAGCCCCCAGACTCAGTGACTTGGATTCCCTCAAGGTGTTTGGTCTAAGAAGTTTTCATAACTTTGCCCTCTGTATGTTCCACCATATTCACGGATGCATTTGCAGCAGAGGTAAATACTCCAATGGTAATATTTAATGGGCAGGCTTCTCAGATACTTGGGAATGACAGTTTAGGCCATCCCATCTAGCCAAGGTTGCACTGTTCAAGGACCTCAGTTTACTTGAGCCCACAATCAATGCCTATGAAAGCAGCAGTCAGGAAGTCAAGTGATGCATCGTACTAGGCAAATCTGCTGTAACAGACTTCTTTAAAGCATTAAGAAGCAAATATGTCATTTTGAGGACTAAGGTGCCCCTGACACAAGCCATGGTATTTTTAATCTCCTGATATGCATAAATGGAATCCTGGTGTGGCGCTGTAAGATAAGCACTGGACTGGTAACCTGAAGGTCGGTGGTTCAAACCCACCAACTACTTCTTGGAAATGCTATACAGGGTCATTATGAGTAGGAACCAACTTGACAGTACTTAACAACCGTAACAAATGCATGAGGAAACTAGACAGTGAATAAGGAAGACTGAAGAATCAATGCCACCTTTAATTACGGTCTTGGAAAAGAATATTGTCTATACCTGACTTCCAGAAGAAGAAATCTGTCTGGGAAGTACAGCTAGAATGCTCCTTAGAAGGAAGGATGGTAAGACTGGCTCACAAACTTTGGACATGTTATCAGGAGGGACCAACCCCTGGAGAAGGGCATTATGCTTGATAGAGGTTCAGTGGAAAAGAGGAAGACTCTCAATGAGACAGACAGACTGACACAGTGGCTGCAACACAGCAATGACTGTGAGGACGGCACTGGGATGGGAAATGTTTTATCCTGTTATATATGAGGTTGCTAGACTTGGAATTAACTTGGGGCCCCTAACAACTACCTCATAAGACTCTAATCCACTAAGGTGCTAGTTGAAGTTAAAGGAACATGAAAGAAAATTCTCCATGCTTCATGGTTAACTGTGCAATGGAAAATGGTCACTGCCTGTATGTAGATTCTTCTTTGCTGTCTCATGTATTTATTTGCATGTTTTAATTAACTTCCTCTTCTTCCGTTCTCCTCCCTTTATTACTATATGTAATTTGTATTTGTGGTAGCTGAATTTGCAGTTTAGTTCATAGATGAGAGAATATCTTGATAAACTCATAATGGAACTAAGAAAGAAGTGGGCATGGCTCAAAGCCCCTGGACTTGGAGCTGGATGGAACATGGCAGGGGATGAGTCCATTTCTGGTTGAGTCATAACTAAATGTTATTTGTATAAATATTATACTTTCTATTATAATAAGGACAACAGATAATAGAATCTGTAAATAATAGGATATTTTCTTTCCAAAACAGTCAAGAATTTGATAAGCATAAAACTTGTTAAATGCTAAAAAGAGGCTGATTATGTAGTTCCAAGAAGTGTACTGAATCAGTTACTGTGTAGGTTTTTCTTTGAAGGGGAAATAAAATTAATCACACCATCTGGCCACTATTATTTCATTAAAGATTTAATATAGATTTATAAGAAATAAAATACAGAATCTGTTATAAATATCCGACTTATTCTACAGCACTAATCTCAAGTAACCACAGGGTTTACCAATCTGTGATTTTATAAATTAAACTGATTTGCTAAATTAAAAAGAAATTTTACAGACACCATTTTTACTGTTACAAGAAGTCAGCAAAAAACCCAAAACAATAGAAATAAATTTTATGCTAAAGTTACTTTCTGTCCAGGTCGAAACATTGTCCCACTTTGATTTTTTTTCTTCTTAGGATTTTGAAAATTTTCATACCTTAAAAAAAAAAAAATTGAGATAATTACTATTTAATAGGGTCTCTATGAGTCGGGAGAAAGATGAGGCTTTCTACTCCCGTAAAGATTTACACCCTCGGAAACCCTGTACAGGGTCGCTATGGGTCGGACCCGACTCGATGGCACTTAACAACAACAACAACAACAACTATGAGTCGAAATTGATTCTATAGAACTTAATAACAACAACATGTAAAGACTTTAATCACAAAACAAAAGGCAATGGATAGCTTGCAAACAGAATTATATTTTAAAAAATAGAAGGGAAATAGCAAACTGGGGGAAAAAAGTTGCAACAGAAACAAGCGTTTTTATACCTAAGTTTTCAAATGTTGAACACTCTAGTAGAATAAAGAATACAGGAATGAAGAAGTAAGTTAGAAAAGATAAAATACAAATGGCAATGAATAATAAAATTGCAACTTCAATAGTTTTAATCAAAGAAATGCAACGTTTTAAATGAGAAATAACAGTTCTCTAATCCCATCGGCTGAGTTTAGAGAAACCTGGTAATATTCCATGTTAGTGAGGGTGTGGTGAAATGGGCTCTCTCATACACTGTACAGTTCTGGAAGGCAACATGACAATATGTTTCAGAAGTCATAAACAATGGGTACACCTTTGTGATACAACAATTCCACCTGAATTTCTGTGAGATCGTGAGGCAATCATTCCGTTACAAGCATGTCCAATATCACACTGTGTAGGGTAGTAAAAACCTGGAAGCCACTTAAATATCCCCAAACTGGAGACTGGCTCAGGGTCAGTACAGATTAACACTAAAAACAAGAGTAACTGCCACCAGGACTGACTATGAAAGTCAGAAATGTAGAAGCAGATGTTTTTTCTGGTGTGTTTTTTTTTTAATGTTTTATTGTGAATTATGTGATAGTTTACATGGGAGAACATTAGTTTTACATTCATCCTATTGTATGTCATTTCACTGCCATGGTTACAATCCCCTCCATGCATCATCAACCAACCAAAGGGTATACCCTATAAGCCTGCCCCCAGTCATCAGCACACAGCCCTTCTCCCTCTCTGGGTCTAAAGTCCCCAGCTGCTCCATCTCTCCATGTCATCGTCTCTGCCTCCATCTCTGGCATCACTGCTTCTCTGGGTAGGGTCCCGCTCTCTGCTGTTCTCCCTTGATGGTCCCAGGAACCTCTGCTCCTAGACTGAAAAGTTAATCACTCCCCTCCTTAATACAAAATGTCTACCTTTACATTTCCAACCCTCACAATCAGTCCTGATAACAATTATTCACTACTGTATCACAAGAGACCTATCCGCATTTCATTTCATCAGCCCCGCCTAGACAGACTGGACTCAGTGGAGATTCTACTTTCCTTCATGCCCTCTGGATCTAGGTTCCCTCTTGAAAGCTTATAAGTCAGTCACTTCTTGTCTTTGTAGACCCCCATTTTGGGTAGTCAATGTCCAAGTTGCCCATCCCTGTCTACTCTGTGTATGGAGGGGATGGGAATGATCCTTACTATAAAGATTTGTTACCTCTTTTGAGCTGAGGTAGATGTTTTTTGACAAAAGGAGGGGAGTGGTTGATTTTGCAGCCCAGGAGTGGACAGATGGAGCGGCTGGGGACACTGTACTCAGGGAGGGAGAAGGCTGGGGAGCGGGCCTGTGTGTGGGGATACCCTTTGTTTATTTGATGATGCATCGAGGGGATTGTAATCATTGCAATGAAATGAAATACGATAGGATGAATGTAAAACTGATGTTCTCCCGTGTAAACCCATATAATTCACAATAAAAACTTAAAAAAAAAAAAGAGTGTGTGGAGACAGAAGAGTCTTCCCTGAATACTTTTCATCTTGTCTAGATGGGTCCGGTTAAAAGAAAGGGGGATAAGATTCTTATAATTCAATAGTGAGTAATTGTTATCATGACTAATTGCAACTGTCACAATTGAAAAGGTAGAAGTTGTGTAACAAAAATGGGGGAGTAGTTAATCTTACAGTCCAGAAACAGAGGACCCTAGGACCATCAAGGGAGAAGAGCACAAGCAGAATGCAGGACCTTATCCAGAGAAGCAACGATACCAGAGATGGAGGCAGAGATGGGGACATGGAGAAAGGGAGCGGCTGAGGACTCGAGATCTCTAGGTTCATGGGAAGAGAGGGACTAAGAGATAGTGGCCAGGAGGCTGACTTGCAGAATATGTCCTTTAGTGGTATAAATTATTATATATACCCGAGTGTTTAAAAAAAAAAAAAAGAAAAAAGCTAAAGTGACTACAGAGAAATACTGTTAACTGATGGTACATGGAGGGGATTATAATCATTGTGATGAAACAAGGTGTATGATTTGCTGAATGTAAAACTGATGATCACAAAATCCACAATAAAAACGTTGAGAAAAAGAGTAGCAGCATATTTAAAACGTGAACGAATGTTCAGGGTGTGTGTTGTGGTTGGTAAGTACTACGGAGTGGGTTCCGACTCATAGGGACCCTGCACAGGGTTTCCGAGGCTGTACATCTTTATGGGAGCAGAATGCCTCACCTTTATCCCACGGAACCACTGGTAGTTTCGAACTGCTGACCTTGAGGTTGGCAGCCTGATTCGTAACCAATATGCTATCAGGGAATTGCTGTATACCAATATGGATGGTATATTATTTTAATAAGACAAAATATCTAAGTATATGAATAAATATGTTTACCAAGGCAGTAGAATTAAGGAAATTTTGTGTTCTTTTTAATCTTTATCTTTGTTTTCTAATTTTTCTGCATTAAGTAGATATCACAGCAATATGTAAAACCTGTCCCAAAATTTTGCAATAAAAAACTTCTAGAGAGCAGGAATAAACATTTCTTGAATCAAACAGAGCTGAGTCACTGGCCTAGAATGCGGTCAATCAATGGCCTTCAGACTCCTGGGAGGTTACAGTCAATTTCAAGATACCATTACATCCAACTGAAGTCCTGGTGTGACGCTGTCGGTTAATGTGCCCACCGGCAAAGCTGTTTGAACTGCAAGGTCAGCAGTTCAAGCTCACCAGCTGCTCCTCAGAAACCCTATACAGGGTCGATATGGGTCGGAACTAAATCGATGGAACTTAACAACAACAACAAATACATCCAACTGTGTACTAAGCATAGTCCACAGAATGAATACATTTGACTATACGCATGCTTGAGATTAGTAAAATTTTAATTATTTTAAAGCAAACAAGGAATATTTTTAAATATAATTTTTGTAAACAATCAACTGGAATAGTTTAATTTCCTGTTTACAATTTATTGAAAGTAATAAATATTAAATTATTGTTGTTAAGTGCTATTGAGTCGATTCTGACTCAGAGCCATCCTGCGTAGGGTTTTTGAGGAGCAGCTGGTGGGTTTGAACTGCTGACTTTTCAGTTCAAACTGACCTTGCAGTCCAGTGCATTATCCTGCAGTGCCATAGAAAATTAGTTTTTAACAACAAGTAATTCAAATATAAGGAATAGACTGATAAATGAAAATTCATTTTTAATTTTTGTACTTTTAAAGTTTTTAGGTATTTAAATATATGGCCTCTAGACAAATTTTCTGAATTGGCTTTTAAATACTTAGCGAATATATGTGATGTTTAGCAAAAACTTAAAAAGTTTAAGTCCCAAGTAACTATGGGGCCTCTAATAATATCGCTACGTCCAAATCCGTATCTGCTACTTACAGCTCAGCAAAACCCTTCCAGTCCTCTTCACTAATGGACGGCCTTGTGTTACCAAGCGCAGTCATTAAATGAGACTGACTAATAGCCAGACTGGGTTTGACTGGTCCTGGTGGGTTAAGGGATTCATCCTCCTTAAATAAAAAAGAAAGCAGCAAACAGTTAGCCTAGGCACATGATGGAAATAAGAATCAGTCTAAGATGTTACGTCTTTTTGTTAGTTTTTTCAAGACACTATACATTCTCTTTCTGGTAAGGCGACTAAAAATAGTTGGAAAGCAAGAAAGCACTTAATATGACTGAGTTAATGTTACAAATGTAGCCCATTTACAAATCAAAGCAATATACATGAAAAAAGTGTAAACAATTGCTTATTTTAAAAAGACTGAACAATGGTAAGTGGAACCAAGTGCCATACTCCACTGTGGCTCTGGTATCTGCCCTTGATAATGCTGATCTCTGCTCTCAGTTGCTCTGTCTGCTCTTGAGTGAGCTCTTGGTGCCCTTCTTGTGACGCTGTCCTCAGCACGGGAGGTTGTGAAAACAATGGCTCTTTCCCAGGAGCCCCAGGAAAATCCTGAGTCATGGAGCTTGGTGCAGACAAGCCCTGTGAGCTCTGCAGGGGCAAACAGGGTAATGGAGAGGAGAGAAAGCATGTGTTTACTAAAGATAAAAATTTCAAAGAATAGATAAGTTTATATTTTAACTAACTGAAATTAAGGAAGTATAGTATTCTATAAAGGTTCATCAATATGTATGTTACTGAACCACGAGAGAGGGTGAAGGTGGTCATGTGACTTTTTCACTTTCGTACTGCTATTAAATCCAACACATTAAAGCCCCAGGGATAGGTTCCAAATGATGTTTACTCTTATTTTTTCAGCAAGAAGAGGTAAACTAAGGCCTGGGACATTTCAAATAGAAGTTAAGAAACAGAAAACAGAATTAACAACTGGAATCACAATAACAGTACATTTCTATTCTTGGAAATAAAAATGAGTCACTTTTATATTTAAAAAACCTGACTTTATCAAACAAATTGACAAAAAAAAAAAAAAACCCACAAGAAAAATGTAACTAAATATGTACCAAAATGTTAAGAGTGCTAATAAAGCAACAGTTAATCACTGTTAATTCTGTGGGGGAGATGTGTTTGAAGCTACTTTAATTAAACAGGAAAATAATAATATTGCCCACATGTAACCGAAACATTTTCCTTGTTGAAGTACTATAACTACTGGTAACTTTTTCACTGTGCTTATATTTTCCATAAAAAAAATTACAAATACGTAACATTTTGTTGTCAGGAATTTCTGACATTATTGCATCAAACTTCTCATTATCTTCTACTGTCCTATGACAAGAGAATTCAAGTTTAATATAATATGAATTTGCTACTAAGGATGTTTTATAACCAGTAGGGGAGACAGAAAGAAACCAAACAGTAAGCTTGGTCTCCCCTACTTTGGTTCTTCCACTTTGCTGCCAGCCCGAAAAATTGCTAGTTAGTCTAGAAAAATCAAGATTACTTTGCTGAAGAACCAACCAACTAGAAAGAAATGTGGGGCTGGTCAGAAGATAGTCACTGTTCATCTTTATACCAACAAAGAGGTTTACATTTCAGAACTGTATAATGATGACTGTACAAGATACCAAATCAGAAGAGGTTCCATTCCCAAGTTCTGATTCATATGAGCTTCCAAAGTAGAGCCGGTACATATTAAACTTTGATTCATCTGGAAGGATCTCAGACATCTCGAGAGAAACAAGTGACTGCTCTAAGCCACATTCTCCATCTCCAGCTGAATCATCAGAGCCACTACTGTGGTTAAGAAAAACCATCGAAGACAGACTTAGGTCACTATCTGAGCTGGAACTTCTATCCTAGAACACAGAAAAGGGCAACCAAATGTACCGCTTGAAATAAACCACAACTTGGAACTAAGTGAGAAAACAGACAGCATTTTCATGAAGTAATACACAGACACCCACGGCATTGTTCAAAACGCTTACCAATTCTCTAGTGGTTCTGAGAGACACAGTAAAATTTTAACTATTAAAAAAAGGATGGAACATGTATATAATTTCCCAGTCAGTTCCATAAAAAGTCTGTGGCAAAGCTAAGACTCAGATCTCTGGATTTATTCTTATATGCTCTGACTTTTGCTACTTTTATTTTTCTACTCTAAAATAAGGAATCATCCATGCCAATAACATTTGTTGTAAAGAAATGCTGTTTTACATATACACACATTTTCTGGTAATGAAAGTAAAAGAGAATCTCAATGGCTTATCAAAATCAACAACAAAAACTTGGTAGTGTTTGATTTAAGACCTTTAGACCAAGCAAGCATTTTTAGCAAGCTGGGAAGAGTGAAAATAAATCCTTCCTAGAAAATGATATGGTAAAGACCACAGACAGACTCTTTAAGATAAATCCATAACGTCTGTTGCTGTATCAGAAAACAGTCCATTGAGCAATGATGGAGACATAACATAAAGACACAGAAGCCACCAAGAAGGGGATTCTATTGGCCAAATCTAGGACAATCTGGGTATCAAAGTAAAGAACATATCTATAGTTAATTAGTTTTTTTAACAAAGTATGAGCCAAACTAAAAATCTCAATTATTTCTCAATGTATATTACCTAATACATAATATCACAATATAAAGAATATTCTTCCACACACCAATATTAAGGTAAGCTAAAGAAATAGATACAAACTCTTCAAAACTAGAGAATTCTTGGCAAAACCAATACTTTGAACTAAAAGTACATTTAAATTTTTATACCTTTTTAGGATTTTTTAAGGTAGAAAATTTGACATTAAAATGCTCTTAACGATCATTAAAAGGCATATAAACTACCTCCTCATATAACTTACCTGATGCCCACAGGAGAGCAGTCTTCCATGTAAGGCCTCTAACTGGGCATTGTAGAGTAAAGCCTTCAGATCTGCTCCAGTAAAGCAGTCAGTTACCGATGCCACGTGAGCAAGGTCGACATCGTCCATCAGAGGCAGAGAGTCACTGAGAACGCTTAAAATTTCAAGACGTGACATCTGAAGGGAGAAAAATGAACTGGTTTAACAAATAAAAAATAAAACACTATCTTAAACCATATGTCTTCAGGATTTTCATAAATACATAAATCTAGTAAACTTTAACAAGTTGAGAAATGTACTACGAGTCTATGTCTTCCTGGATCCACACCCACTGACAGACAGAACACAAGAAAATGAATGAAAACCACCGTCTTAACTGTTGAATAGAAACCAAGTCTTATTCAGATAGTGTTTATTCTCTAGATTTGGGCAAGTGTACCAACAAAGTTTTCTATAGGAAAATTGAAATAATTTAAATACTAGCTAGTTGTGACAAACACTCATATTCAATCCTTAGAATATTTATTTGCTTATTTGTTCTTTCACTCCTTTATCTATTAGTTTCTAAATTTGAGAATAAGCATCACAACACAGGACTAGAAAAGCCTTTTTCTATATAACCTGCAAGAGGCCCTGTTGGCAGAGTGGGTTCTGACTTGGATTGCTAATTGCAAAGTCAGGAGTTTAATTCCACCAACCGCCCCACTGGAGAAAAGACGAGGCCTCCTGCTCCCGTAAAAATTTCCAGCCTTGGAAACCCTATCACACAGGGTGGCTCCCCGACCACCACCATGTAAATGTAACCTGCTCACATGCTTACTCGTCATGAATATATTTGCTTTTGTATCAGTCTTGGACAGGATAATGTGTTGTGTGATCTTAGAACACAAGTAATACGGACATGCAATACCATGTGTTTCCTCCCTTTTTTCCAAATGGCCAACACTCAACGATTATATGGTTTTCAGACTTGCATGGAAATGGCTGGGTCAAAGAACAGCTTTGCATCTAATTCAGAATCTTTTGTGCTGTGAGCAAGCAGTGGTCAAGGCCCACGCCTACGAAAGCTGGTCTTCTCAGGACAATTGCTATTACCTGCAAAAGGAACGTTCACAAGGAAAGAGTGCAGCATCTGTTGGGTTTAGGACCCTAACTGTGAAATTCTCACCTGATCAGGAGGAGGACAATACACACATTTATCTAGTCGACCAGGCCTGAGCAGGGCAGGGTCAATCAAGTCAGGGCGACTAGTAGCAGCTAACACATACACACCTGAGGGTAAAATAAAGCACTTTTACTAGAGCCTGGTAAAATCACATTATAACAAAATGTCTGTACGTTTACGATTATTACCCTGTAAGCCTTCTACTCCATCCAACTGAGTCAGCAGCTGGTTAACTACTCGGTCTGTCACGCCAGTATTATCATGACCTCTCCGAGAAGCGATGGATTCAAATTCATCAAAGAAGAGGATGCAGGGCTTTGCAGCCTGCGCCCTGGGGAACATAAACATTTCCGATTTTAATAGGGTTTCAGGGCTTGCAAAGAGGGATTTCAAATATGTATAAATCAATCACATACACACATATTTTAAATCTTCTAGACAACAAACCCTTAAAGAAAGTAAACCATATGCTATTTTTCATATTTTTTAAAAAAACTGGGTGTTAGAGAGAACAAGGGCTTTGCCCTGGTCCCATACCTTCTGGGCCGAATAAAAAACAAAACCAAACAAACTTGTCCTCCTGGCAATTCTGACTCATGGCAACCCTGGAGGACAGAACAGAACCGGTCCACCCAGTTTCCAAGGCTGCCGTCCTTGCAGAAGTAGATGGCCACATCTTTCTCCTACAGAGTAGCCAAGTGCTTTCACCATTGCACCACCAGGGCTCCTTAAGAACAGGATAGCAAGGACCTCCCCTCCAAAAAACCCCCCACAAAAACAAAAAACTGACATTTTAAAAATTAATAATTCAGTGTATCACCAGCTGCTCCTCAGAAACCCTACACAGGGTCGCTATGGGTTAGAATCGACTTGACAGCACTTAACAACAACATATACTACTTACTATGCTACACTTTTACTCTGAACATTTCATTATAATTAGCACTCTGGTAGCATAGTGGTTACGAATTGGGCTGCGAACTCCAAGGTCAGCAGTTCGAAACTACCAGCTGTTTTGCGGGAGACAGATGAGTTTTCTGCTTCCATAAAGATTTACAGCCTCAGAAACCCTACAGGGTCGCTATGAGTCGGAACTGACTCCACAGTACATAACCACCATCACCACCACCATCACCAACCACCACCACCTACAGATTAGTAAAGGATTCCGAATCCTGTTCTATTCATGGTTAAATCATAATATAGGAGCAATTATGAGATTCTGTTTCCGTTTTATATTTTCTGTTTTTTTTTTTTTTTTTTTTACTATTTTGAGATTTCCTTAAATGGCCACTATTATACATTTAACATTTTATATTTATATAATTAACATAATATTTCTATTATAATATAGCTATAAAATCAAACAATTTCCAAATTTTAATACTTAAAATGTTTTACATTTAAGTAGTATATGGCAAAACAGGTAATTTCTGTCTTCTAAATTATCAATAATTCACATTAAGTCATAGGTTTTGAACATCAGCTCTTCAAAAAACAAGATTCTGATCATGAAGCACGGATTGGTCAACAGTGATGATGTCATTTACTTTAAACATGATTCACAGGTAACCAACCTAACAAAAATGTCACGCACAGCTTGTTCACTTGCTCCAATATATTTGCTGAGCAACTCTGGCCCCTGTTAGGTAAAATTAAATTAAATTAGAATTCAGATAAAATTATATATAAAAAAATCTAATCTTTGCTTATGGCTAGGTCTAAATTCAGTCATGAATAAGTTTTAATATGACTAACAGGGAACAAATATGAAATACTCAGTGGTTTCTCTGCCAGGACATCTGTGCCTAGAGATTCTCAAAGTGTGTTCCTTCATTTCACTTACGTCTCTTACAAAATGCCACCTCTTCAGAAAGGCCTTGCCTGACGACCCCATCTATAACCCATTCTAGCTATTCTACACCTTCTTGTTTTGCTTTCTCTCCACAGAGAATTCTATTACATATATACGTGCTTATCTGTTCATTATCTCCCCTAGTATAATGCAAGTTCCAAAAGGGCAGCTTTATTTATACAAGAGTTTAATTTATTTATATAAGAGTTGAAGAATATTTTCTAAAAGTTGATTGAAACAAACTTTAAGATTTATGAAAGTTGATTGAAACAAACTTCTCTACATAGATAACAAAATTGGCCATGAGAATGCCTCTCCTTAAACTGGGATAGCATTCATGAAAAAGGATGTTTCTAAAAACTGAATAACAACAACAAAACAAAACTCAAAACGAATTGGCCCCTGTGATCTGCACCTCTTAAAGAGCAAATATGTGAAGGATATGCGATTAAAACAGAATTTGTAGTCCTCATCACCTATTTGGTTATGTGCTAGCATTTGGTTAAACTTCCTCCCCACAGTCAGAGAACTGGAGGCTGACAGGACATGACAAGGCAACATACTGCTGGCAGTCAAGGGCTCTAGGCTGCTGGCCTGTTACAAGTTGCCCTAACCCACCAAAATGGAATCAGCCCTCTGCTGAAACCTTTCCACTGTGGACTCATCCCAAACTGTGATCTGAAGACTTACTAAAGATCACCCTAATGGGATCATATAAATTCACAAGTGTTGATCTTGCAAATTACGTTTTAGAAGCAAAAAGTGAAATGATAATATAAATATAATATCAATTCTATTGGTAAGTGTGGAAAGGATAGCACAGCATGGTCACCTGAGGATCCAGAAACAAGCAGGCAGGGAACTCTACAGGTGTCAGCTGTCAGCGCTCCTTCAGGACTGCCAGGGACCCAAACTCATGTGATCAATTACAGGCAGGCACAATGCAACTGCAAACCACTCAACAGGCTTCCAGATTCTCAACCCATTTTGAAAAAGGCAAGGTAATAATTCCTTTGCCTTAGAATCAAAGCACCTTTTGGTAAATGAATACTGCTGAGGTGCTGAAACTATAATGCCCAAATTACTACATTCACCTTATACCTGAAAAAATTTACACCTAGTATGACATGCAGCCAACAAGCAACAAAACTATAAATACCAGCTTCCCTGCTCTAGTTGTCTATGTTCTCTCCCCCTTTATAGGCAGTTTGCTTTTTATGTAAATATTTATGTGTATTTCTAATTGTAATGCATGAAGATTTGCCTTCAGCAAGAACATAATAAGCCCTAGAAGATAAATGGTTTATTACTCAACTTCCTACTCAGCTCTATCAGCTCTTCAAATATGAGGCTAACTCACCATCAGAAGAGATAAATGTGAATGTACCTTGATACTAATAAAATTCATCCCGCTCTCTCGTGCAATTACTCCAGCTAGCAGGGTTTTTCCTGTTCCAGGAGGCCCATACAATAGTACACCTGTTCTGTGTCGTATGGGCAAGTTTGCAAATAACTCTGGGTACTGAAAAATACAAAAAAAAACAAAAAACAAAAAAACACGATATACAATTCAATTCTGAGAAAGAAATGACTGGGCAGCAGTAAAGATCAATGCATAGAAAAAGGACTTAAACAGTGATAAGTGCTGCCTTTCCTTATCAACACCACAGTGAAAGTAACAAAAAGTCGTGCTCAAAATAAATGAACTCCAATGAACCACCATGGAGCTTTTTCCAGCCATTACTTGACAAGGGATGTAAAGGAAGAAGGACTGTGGAATACATGAGATCTAACATGTATCTGACTGCATCAAATGTCTCCAGTTTTTTCCTTTTTTAACATAAAAAAGTACCACTTTAAGATTTTCTAAAAAGTGTACTTTCTACTTGTATTTTTTCACTGGGCAAGTTATGACAGCTGTCTACATTCAAGTGAAACCAAAGGCCCACTTCCACAGAGTCAATTCCAACTCAGATTCACTCAAAGAAAGAAAAACTTAATTTAACCTAAGTAATTTAATGAGATACAGTTGGGCTACTAACCCCACAGTCAGCAGTTCAAAACTACCAGCTGCTCCAAGGGAGAAAGACGAGGGTTTCTGCTCCAGTAAAGATTTACAGCCTTGGAAACCCAGTACAGGGTCGCTCTGAGTCAGAACCGACTCCACAGAACACCACCACCAGTGTAGTGCTATAGAGTAAGCTTTGGGCTGCAAGGTTGATTTGAACCACAAGGTGGCGGTGCAAACCACCAGTAGCTCTTTGGAAACCCTATACAGGTCGCTATGAGTCAGAACTGACTTTCAAAGGCACTTAACAACATAAAATCGCATGGAAGAGTCTCCAGACTGAATAACTGATCCTAAACCATCAGTGATTTGAGAGAAAGAAAACTTTGAAAACAGGCCAAAGAAGCTGCTGCCCAAATCCCAGTCTCCTATATTGAGTTCCAACTCTGGACAAAATTCCAACCTCATCTCTACCTCTGCTTTATTTGAAACAGGCTCCAAATTTAGAAGTTCAGCACATGGTCTCCATCTATCTGAGCGCTAATGCTTGGTGCCCAGACCCGCACTTGGAGGCATGGTTTGTACTTCCATGCCCATGTTCTCTCAAACAGGCTTTACCCCACTGTCCTGGCTGCACTCACTATGGTCCAGGTCCCAGCAGTGATGGCTCCCAGGACTCACCATCCAGTCACATGTAAACCGAGACCCTCACTCACCATGTCTCTCTCTCTGCATGGGTCCCTGATGCTACGTGGTAATCCTCATTTCCCAGGTCTTTGAGTCAACCACACTACCCCTAGATGCACTATCTAACCTTCTGAATAATCCACATCTGCCACCTTGATCTTGCCATCTGCTTGGTCTACACTGCCCACTAACTCTGCCTTTCCAGGACTAACCCATGGAGTCTTCAGATTGAGTTTAATGCCTCACACTCATGGACCCATGGACCGAGCTGACTTTTCCACCTTCCAGTAATTTCTATTTCTGTTCAAGTCCCATTCTGACAGTTCATTCTGGTTTAGTATAATCTGAATGATTCAAGCAAAACAGAAGAATTCAGAACATCTCATCAAATGAATTTATAAATGCCACCTCAGATTTTCTCATAAATTTTATGGGCAAAGAGTACTTTTATTTGGTAACACAAAGTAAAGATGTACTGAATCAAAATGACATTGAGCAAGCCAAACAACACATAAACAACACAAAGTCAATGAGCCAGCGGTTCTCCTAGGAGTCAATACAACACCTTGGCTGGTAACTGGACAGTATCCATGAGTATCTGCCGAACGTCATGTAATCCACCAATCTTATCCCAGCCCAGGTCTCTAGGTTTATGCAGGTTGACGTTTCGCAGAGACGCAGGAGTGAATCTGCGGAGAGCTTTTTGGAAGTCCATTGTTGTTAAAACTAATTCTGTTTAAAACATAAACAACACTTGCTTTGGTAGACATATTGAATACATGAATTTTCTCAAGATATTTACCTTAGCTGGAGATATCTGGTTTTTACTCAAATACTAAAATGGAATGTGCTTAATTCTTGCCTTACTACAATTACAATTCTCAACAATGGAAAGATGATTCCCAAGTTTGAATGTGGATAGTAGAACATACCTTCCTTGGTGGATATACTCTGAAAAGAGAGACGAGAATGTACGGCTCGATCCACAAGCACTGTAAAATCTCTAGCAACAAACCCTTCTGTCTCTCTAGCTATAAGGTCCAAGTCAAGATCAACAAACTTGTTCATGTCACAGTCCAGTTTATTTTTTAGTACATTATGCAGAATTTCACATCTTTGCTCCTAACAACAAAAAAAAAAACACAAAGTTGAAAATTTTAATTTTATCCATGTATACATTTTGCTGTTAAGTATTAACACATCAATTCCAACTCATAACAACTCATGCACAACAGAACGAAACAGTGCCCGGTCCTGCGTCATCCTCACAATTGTTAGCACATTTGAGCCCACTGCTGCTGCCACTGTGTCAATCCACACTGTTGGGAGTCTTCCTCTTTTTCACTGACCCTTCATTTTAGCATGCATGATATCCTTCTCCAGGGACTCGTTCCTCCCGATAACATGTTTGAAGTATGAGAGATGAAGTCTCGCCATCCTGGATTCCAAAGAGCATTCTGGCTGTACTTCCTCCAAGACAGATCTATTTTGTTCTTCTGGTAGTCCATAGTACTTTTAATATTGTTCTCCAACACCATTAATTCAAATGCATCAATTTTTCTCTGGCCTTCCTTAACTGAAAACATCATGGCTTGGATCAGCCACACTTTAGTCCTCAAACTAATCTCGGTTCTTTAGCACTTTACATAGGTCTTTTGCAGCAGAGTTGCCTAATTAAATATGCATACATTTTAGAATACATATTCTGAGAATTGTTGTTGTTGTTAAGTGTTGTCGAGCAGCTGGTAAGCGTGAACCGCCGACCTTGTGGTTCAAACCGACTTTGCATTCCAGTGCATTAACCCAGAGCGCCACACCAGGCTACCGTAATCTAGTGACAGCAGTAGACTGGTTCATGTCTGGGAATGGACTAGGAGGCGGGCCGGGCTGCCGAGAGATACTAGGACACTTCTGGATGTGATGAAGATGTTTGCTACTTTAACTGTGGTGATGGTTTCAAGGTTACATGTCAATTGAACATAGTGTGTATTTTAAATACATGAGTTTGTTGTAATTAAATTATACCTCAATAAATTTATAAGAAAAATTAGATGTACAAATGATTACCATTTCTTTCTCAAATAAACTTTTAGTAACATATAGGTCCTTTTAAGAATTTTTTGTTTTGTTATTGTTGTGGTTCCTATAACATTTATTTCTAAAAACATATATATAGTGGCCAACATCACCATATTCTGCTATACTTAATAACAAGTTTTAAAACTCTTGTTCTATATTATAAGTTATGTAGCTCAGAGTCTAAATATTTAGAATATTTAGAATTCTCTAAGTGAGAATTTTAAATAAGAACCCAAAATATGCATAGAACCCACTTCTTTGAGCTCACTGCCCCCTAAAATTACCAGGAGTATGAGCTCTGGTAGCGTAGTGGTTACGAATCGGGCTGCGAACCTTAAGGTCAGCGGTTTGAAACTACCAGCCGCTCCGCGGGAGAAAGATGAGGCTTTCTACTCCCGTAAAGATTTACACCCTCGGAAACCCTGTACAGGGTCGCTATGGGTCGGAACCGACTCGATGGCACTTAACAACAACAACAACAACATGAGTCCCCAAAGGAGACTATGGGTCACATATGATAGTGGAAAAAATATTTAGATAATTTTTATACAAACATCTTGCATTTCTCACTGTTCTTTTTCATTCAGAATAAATACTGTTGAACACCCATATTCACTGCAGCATTATTCACAATAGAAAAGGAGATGGAAACAACCTACATGCTCACCAGCGTGATGAATGGATAAACACACAATGGAATAATGATGAATCTGTTAAACAGCTCACAACCTAGATGAATCTAAAGGATATTATCTGAGTGAAACTAGTCCATTGCAAAAAGGAAAATACTAAGTCAGCTCACTAACATGAAATATCAAGAAAAGGTTTACACACAGAAAGAAACTTAATGGTTACCAAGGATGGAGTGGTTGGGAGGGAATACCACTACTGAGGTGGGGGGTGTGGTGGCTCTGTAGGATTAGTACTAGACTGTCAACCCTAAGGTCAGGAGTTTGAGCCCAGCAGCCACTCTGGGGGAGAAAGATGAGGCTGTCTGCTCCTGCAAAGATTTACAGCCCCAGAAACCCTATGCAGTGTCACGATGAGTCAGAGTGACTGATGACAGTCAATACAACAACATCCAATCCTGTAATAAATAATAATGTACAAGTGAGTATGTACATAGTTATATAAGGGTGGGAGGGCATATGGGAGTACACCCATGTGCTCTATTGGGTTGACAGCAGACATTCTTACATACATATTGTACGTGCTGCAGATATACCCATGTATGTAATAGTGTGCAAAGGGCACAATCATCAAACCCTCAAAGCCAGAAACAAACCCCTCCTGGGACTGAGATATCAGGCCTCAGGGCTGGTGCCCATAGTCTCGGGGGATATCTTCGCACTACAATAAAATATCAAACAAAAAAAGGAAGAAAAACTGTTTCAAAAAAGTAATTTCCCTGGGAAGTACATCATCGTATTTCAGATATAAATTATAATTGTACATCTAATACAATAAGCACTGAGGGCTGACTCTTAAATATCCTTAAGGTTATTAACATAAGCACAAACTTAAAGCAAAAAATGATAATGATTTCTGTAAAGAAGGAAATCTTTCAACAACCTTCATGAAGAGTACATTACCTGGTTAGGAGGATGAATGTGCTGGAAACACTGAAACACGTGAACTCCTTGGGCAGCAATAAGTGAAGGATGCAGAGACTGCTGGGATTGGCTTGTTGCCATCAGAGCAACCAAACTTCCCATGGAAACAAATTCTTTTATCATATTGTTCAATGCTAGAATTAAACATTTCTTAATTAGTGTAATATAAAGCTTAGGAAACATAAACCGTAACTTTAAATGACATATTTATTTAAAATAATGATAACCCGAAGTTGAGGTTTAAGGTGGAATATATACAGTAGGCTCTTTCAGACCTGTTAGAATTTAATTCATGTACCTGGCCACTGATTTACCTATGGAGGGCCTAGTATGGGCCAGGCTCTAATCAATCCAATGGAGGGGCAGGCGGTAGTATATACTCTTATCTGTCTGCCCTGATCAGTACCTAGTGAGGCTCCCAACTCCTAGATCTCACAAAGCAGGTGAATGGACAGTAAAGAGGGGTCTCTGAAATGAGTCTGTTACAGACAGGCAACAACTTTCCATACTGTATTCTGTATAGTAAGCAAAATATAGCTTATATTCCTGACTTTATGAACCATCTCTTTCCACCCCCAGGTTTTCCAAGATTTTGTTGGTGTGAGAAGGTCAGAACTGAAAGAGGTATTACGAGAAGTTGCCAGTACTCCTTGAAGCACTAGGTTAACAACTCTTGCAGAGGCTATATGATTCAAAACTTAAGATATATGCTAGTTCAAAATAAATACATCCACAGCACCGTGGCTGCATTTACTACTTCAGCTCTCAAGAACCACGGGGCAGCTGAGCACTGCCAAGCTCTCCAGCCCTGCCCCCAGCCCTCTTCTTGCCTTCTATGCTCAAGTGAATGGAGTAGTCCCCCACATAACCATGGTTTGGGCACCTTCACACTTTTGCCTAGGGAGCACAATTCCTTTACTTCTTCATTTAGCTATTTTTTATTCCTCTGTCAAAACTTAGCTCCGTTATCAACACCTCCAGGAAGCTATCATTATTATTATTATGAGCTAAAACTGTCTATTTTTCTCTCCTCCACTAGACTTTGAAAATACAGATTAGCCCCGAAGGCAGTCAGAACACAGGGTCTAATGGCTGTTCTCCGTAACAGTGTGTCTGCCATGACCACTACAAATGCTGTCCAACAAAAGACAAAGAGTCACCATGTGCGAGGCGCTGGCTCCGCACCGCCGTGGGGCTGTGCTCGTGTTCAGGGAGAGTGGGCAAGCCAACAATGAGATCGAGGTCGTCCAGCAGAACAGCGGATGGCTGCCTCCAAGCTGCCTCTGAGAAAGCTGTCTCTAAGGACTTTTGTATGCTTTCAAGTCTTTTTCCTAAATACAGAAGATAGGAGATGGTTTCAGGGCTATTTTAGGGCTGGCAGAGTTCAGGCTGCCACTGAGACAACCAAAACCAGGACAGACGTACTGCTGTTGAGTCCACTCTGACTCATAGTGACCCTGCAGGACAGAGTCCAATTGCCCACAGGGTCTCAAGACTGTCTACCCCGAGGGCAGCAGACGGCCACACCTTCATCCCACGAACAGCTGGTGAGCTCAAAACCCACAGACCTTTGGTTGGCAGTCAAGCACTTTAACTACTTTGTCACCAACGCTTCTTTCTGAAAGCATTAGAAAAGCTAAATATTGATTAAACTATAAAAATTCAATCCATAGTTTATTAATATAACAACTCCTAAAACTTGTTAACCTGACACAAGTTCAATTAATATAGCCTCAAAGGTCTCAACAAAATACTGAGCTTTAGAAACCTGGAAAATAAATATACTGCTATCATTTCTAAATTTCTCCAGAGAGGATTTCAGATGACTTACAACAAGCTAGTAAAATAAAAGTGGAATATGGGGAAATGTACACGAGAGGCAGGGGCAAGATTGAGGCAAAACAAGATGAAGGCAGCTGCCCTGAGATCCTGGGTGTGCTATATCGGATTCACAAAGCTAGCTTCAAACTTCTTGTTCTGTTACAAGATTTTAATTTTCAAATAGTAGATAATATACCACGATCATATGAAGACATAAAAATTTCTATGACTTAGTTCTAAATTAAAAGTTTTACCTGAGGCTTCATGAAGGACACGAAAAGATGGACAATGTTTCTAATTACAACCATTTTTGCAGCAAATAAAGTAATGAGTTTCCAAAAGCGATTTCTGAGTTTCATAAAGTATAGAAACTGAGATCAATTGGGACTATATGGTAGTTGTAATTAAAGGGAAAAATTGACTTTGCAAAGTAAAATATTTTCAATCTCTCTTTTTCATTGAATAGATAACAATGTGTCAAAAATAATACATTTGGTGAATTGCAATTCTCCTTCCCAATATTCTCCACAGCCACCAACTTTCCATCCCCTGAGTCAAGTCTTCAATGTTTGGCCTAGAAAAATAAATAGACCTTCCTAAAATATAAAAGTCTAGAAATTTTATGCAAGACATTAGACAGTCAAAGACTGAGCATATCTAAGGAATGTCAATTGCTAAAGGATAAACAGAAAAATTAAATAAAATAGATATTTGTATTTATTAGATATCAGCATCAAACAATAGTTCAGTCTTTCTACCAAAAAAGGAAGTTACGTATTAAATTCATACCATATTCATACCTTGCAAAGCTTTACAGTCAACTATTTCCACATGTGCATCCAAAGTGTCAAATGCTTCTTTACAGATTGCCTTGGCTAAAGTTGATTTTCCACTCCCCTAGGAAATAATTCAGAAGGACTTCGACATAGTGAATCACAGAAATAGCTTTTTTCACTGTGGCAACCACCAAATTACCACATGACACAGCAAATCTACTCCCAGGTGTATACGCAAAACAAGCTAAGGCAGGAGCTCAAATAGATACTTGCACACCAATGTTCACAGTCAAGAATCCGCAATAGCCAAGGTGGAAACAACCAGTGTTCATCAACAGATGAATGGATAACAAATGTGGGCGATATCCACACAACAGAATATTCAATCATAAAGAGAAATGAAGTTCTGATACATACTACAACACGGATGAACTTCAAATTCTATACCAGGGAAATATACTAGACACAAAGAACAAATACTGTGTAGGATTCCAATTATATGAAATATCTAGAATAGGCAAGTGATTCACAATGTTATGAAAATAGATTAGTGGTTACCAAGGACTGGGGTTGAGGAGAAATAGGGAGTTATTGCTTAATGGGTACAGAATTGCTGTTTAGGTTGAGAAAAAGTTTTGGAAAAAATAATGGTGATAGTTGCATAACATTGTGACTCACTGAGCTGTACACTTAAAAATGGTTAAAACAGTCAATGTCATTATATGAGGGGGCTTCAAAAAATGTGTGGGAAAATTCTGTTATATTTTAAATCCATTTTCCATGAACTTTTTGAAGACCTCCTCTCCAACCCCCCTATACACACCTATTCCTCACTTAATGACATTATTAGGTTCCAAACAGCAGGACATTGTGTGAAAATCAGTGCTGTGTGACAATGTAAGATGACCAATGACTACAGCATCGTGTCATTGCCTAACTGTCACCCACTGAGAACACGGCCCAGCCAAGATGACACAAACTGAACCATCACAGCCATTTGATATTTCCAGGTGTACATTGCTAATGTACAAAAGAGTTGAGTAATAGAGTTTTAATTACTGTAGTAAATGTGAAATGTTGGATAATGAGACCATCAATATGTGAGAGTAGGTGTGTATTTTATTATAGTAATTTTTAAAAATTAGGGAGTAAATGCTTTTCATTTCTCATGTTAACAACCCTGTAGAACAGATGATCAAAATTCAAAGAGAAAAGCACAAAAAGTTATCAGTTCATGAAGACGAGCATATTTTAACCTCATACCTTTCCTCCTGTGAGCAAAAGGGCTCCATTCCTCAGTCCGGCCACAAGGGACATTAGCTGTCGAGACAAAGGGCGTCCCAGGAGGCTATGAGTGATGTGCTCCATGGATGTTGTACCTAAGGAATTCACTCCTCTGCAAAACATACCAATTGTGAGGGGATAAAACATGGAGGCAAAATAAATTAGCGACCAGAAATTTGGAACTTCCCTCCCCAGTCTAGTTCAGGAATTAAAAGAGCAAAATCTTACATATTCTCCCTTACTTAAGAAGAAGTATACCGGTTAGTGCCAAGTCTGATTTACAGCTTTTAAAATTAGTTTTATTACTTTCAAATATGTGAAGTAATTATAGCTTTACTCTAATAGGAGTCCTTAAGGAATTTTGGTTAAAACATACATGCAACACCCTTCAAAATAATTTCTGGTTTGCAGATTAATCAGAGAGCATGTTTTTTGAAGCACTTAGGGTAGCTGAAGACTATGTCCTCATAAATTAAATATGGACACTACAATCAAGTTTCAATCTGAAGGTTGTGCAAACTTGAACGTCAACCTTCTTTATGACACTCACACTTTGTTTCCGCAAATAAGAATATCATAAATTCCTAATTATTTCATCTTAACTAAAGAGATGTTACTTATATTAATGAATACTATGCTGTATAGTGTAGTACTATAGGATTAAGCACTGGACTGCAAACCACAAGGTTGGCGGTTAAAACCCACCAGCGGCTCCTTGGAAACCCTATATAGGGTTGCTATGAGTCGGAAGTCGGAACCGATTCGATCACATGTAACAACAAACAGCATGCTGTATTCAAACATTTTTACGTTATGACTTAATCCTTTTATTAAATCATATACAGATTATACTACAGAAAACCAAATCACTACTAGTATGTCTGCCAAAAGCCTTTGGGAAAAAGTCTAAGAAGCACTATTATATTAAGAGTCTCACGGTGTTTAAGAGATAAAGAACTTAAGAGAGTGTTCTTTTTAGATTTGTCCGTCTTTAAAAAGTTGAAGAAAAATAATTACAACTATTACATTAATAAGATGATGAAAGAATCCATTTGAAACCTTTTAAAACATTCAACTGATAATTTTAGATTTAACTATTATTTGCTCTTAGAATTATAAACTATTTTATTCAATCACATATAATAATCTAGGCCACATCTAGTTGCTGTCTTCTCACACACCAATTCTCAAAGTAAAATTTTTAATAGCTTCAGTTTTAGTTATCTGAGAAGGCAAGATAAATCTCTGTTAGTTGTGAAGACAGAGACAATCCTTGGAAAAGTATCAGCTAATGGTGTGGAGCTGTAGGATAAGCACTGAACTGCTAACCACCAGGTTGGTGGTTCAAACCCACCAGTCATTCACAGTCAGAACCTACTCCACAGTACTTCACCATCACTGCAATGCATCAGTGGGAAGAGCCCTGGTGGTGCAGTGGTTAATCAAAAGGTCAACAGTTCAAATCCACTAGCTGTTCCTTGGAGAAAGATGTAGCATTCTGCTTCTGTAAAGATCTACAGCCTTGGAACTTCTATGGGGCACTACTACTCTGGCCTACAAGGTCACTATGAGTGGGAACTGACTCAGCAGCAAAGGGATTGGTTTGAGTGCATTAGTGAAAGAGCCCTGGAGGCACCTGGCTGCTTACTAAATGGCTGGCAGATAGAACTCACCCAGTGGCTTCATGGAAGAAAGTCCTGGCTACTTGCTCCCATGAAGAGTACAAACAACCTAGGAAACCCTATGTATTTGCAGTACTACTCTTGTCGTATGGCACTGCCATAAGTAAAAAATCAGCTCAACGGTACCTAACAAACAATACATGAGCAAGATCATTAATATATACTTTTAATATTTAGAAAGGTCTTTAGATATGCACATCCATGCTGCACTATTCACACTAGCAAAAAAGATGTTGATATCCTAAATGCCCATCAACAGAAGAATGGTTAAAAAAACTCTGGTACATACACACCATGGACTATTACACATTGCTGAAGAATAATGATGAAATCCATGTAACACCTCATAATATGGTGGAACTTAGGGGACGTTGTTGTTGTGTGCTGTTGAGTTGGTTCCGACTCATATCAACTATACATAGGGTTTCCAAGAGCATCTGATGGATTTGAACTGCCGACCTTGTTGCTACCAGTCCAGTACCTATCCTATAGTGCCACACCAGGGCTCATTATGCTGAGTGAAATTTGTCAACCACAAAAGAACAAATATTCTATGAGACCACTATTGTAAAAAGTCAAGAAAAGGTTTTCATGCTTAAAAGAAACAATCTATTGCTGGAAACCAGGGATGAGAGGAAAGGGAGAATTATTGACTGGCTAGAGGGGAGACACATGTTAACTTGGGTGGTGGGGAAGGCAGTTCAAAGAAAGAAAGAGAAAAACTCTAGCACCCATATCTTAAACATGCTAGTTTGACCAATGCTTCTTACCCCAAGGAGCTCAGCTTTAAAAAGGGAACAACAGAGTCAACTTCCCCACTGCTCTCTTCTTTTACAAGAGGGTCTAGAAGGACCTACAGAAGCAAGGAAAACTCAGTTTTACAGTTCAGAATTAGGCCTCTTGCAGTGTTTCTCAAGTGTCAGGAACCTGAATTGCTGTCTCTATTAAACCAGAGAGCAATGTACTGTGCAGACAGGATCATTACTTAAAATAGCTTTGACAACAACTTTGCTCATTATTTGACAGATATTTATGATTAAAAAGCAATAAAGAATACAAACTCCTTAACCAATTTTACAGATAAATCTTTATTTGAAGCTTTGATTTGTGTCAAAATTATTATTTTCACAATTCTCAAATTTGCATCTTCTCTGAATATTTCAATTACATTTCAAAAGTAAAGAAACAATGCTTATGTCCAAACCATTAAAACTGCAAACTACTAGAGCATCTTTAATTCAATCACGACATAACACTATTCTGAAAAAGTGTATTTTTTTTTTTTGGAAGAAAAGTGCTGTGGTAAGATTTGTAAAGAGTTGAGAATTTAAGGATTGCCCAAATAATAGAGACTGAGAACTGAAGAAACATCAAAAATAACCTGGGTGGTACAGCAAAACTATAAGTAAAATATGAATTCTCAAAATCAACCCCCTAAAATTTAATTTTCTTTTGTTTCAATAACAGAAAAATTTTATGTCAAGATCCATTTGCCAGTGAACATATCAATTCTATTTCTGCAACTTATGCTGAGGCATTGATTTTAAGATAAATCAAAATTGCTGTATGTTAAATACTATAGAATAAAATATTTTAGTTAGCCCTTTTGTCACTCGGGTTTGTATTACACTTCAGGAAGCAAGGTCTTCCAGGTAAAATCAAACTGAATTATCAATCACATGTGACAAATATTATCGCATTAAGTATTCAATAGTATATAATTACTTCTATTGTGGTCTTCTGCAGCAGGTTGGGACTCAACAGAAAAATATTTTTTGCTTTATCTTTTTCCCAAGAGTGAACTGTATTCAGAGAAAATTCTTTCAACTCTATTGAAAAAAAAGTAAAAGTGCAGAGTTACTATTGGATATAAAATAAAATAATTTAGATTATAACTATTAAACTAACTTAAATCTAAATAAAGCCTACATCAATTATGTGTTTTCTTGAAAGTGCAAAATATCATTATAATGTTTTATTGTTCAATGTTACAATTTTGAAATATAATTTAAAAATAGGATGACCATTTCAATAGGAAAAATACCAAAATAACAAATTTACCCACCATTTTTAATTTCCAGCTTAAGAGTTTCTTCCTCTGATATTATTAAAGGAAGCATGGTGGTAGTGGATTGTTGTAGCCATGAATGGAACACAGTTTTTATGTCCTCTTCACTTGTATCTTTAGGCTGTCGTAGAAAGGGAAAGAATAGTAATAAATTGTTCTGGTACCTCATTTTAAAAAGGTAGAAACAACTCAAGTATCCATGAACAAATATGAATGAATGAGAAGTATGTGGAATATACATACAATGCAATATTACTCAACCATAAAGAGGAATGAAGTTCTCTCTTCCTGGTCCCCAGGCCCCATCCTCACTATGCAATTTCCAAGAAATAAAAGGGTATGTACTCCTGCCTAATGGCGGAACCATTCATAGAAACAGAGAAATCATGACATGCTCAGTGTTAAGACATTTTGAATTTAGGATGCAGTGGTGGTGGTGGTTATGTGCTGTGGAGTCACTTCCGACTCATGGATATGGATAAACCTTGAAAACGCACTGAGAGAAATAAGCCAGACAAAACAACAAATATTGAATGATTCCACTTATATGAAATATCTAGAATAAGTAAAATGCATAAAGGCCTTAATTTATTAGTGGTTACCAAGGATAGGTGGGAGGGGAAAACAAGAAGTTATTATATAAGAGGTATTGAGTTATTTTTTATATATGATGAAAAACAGTTGGAAATGGATACTAGTATTACAACATGGTGAATTTAATTGCATTTATATCACTAAACTGTACATTCACAATGGTTGAAATGGCTAATTAAAAATTATTTTTAAAATTAAAATGAAGACTTTTAAAACCCACTTAAATTAAAAAAATAGAAATAACAAAAATTCAGAGAAGAAAAATGATTCATATTTGTCCAGAAAACTAAACGTCTATTCTACCATTTCTAAGTTCCATTTCTGTTACCTGTCTTCGTCCCGAGTCAACCATAGAAGCGCTACTTAAGCTCAGTTCAGAAAATGATCATTACCAAAAGCAGGCGAAACTAAAAAACAAACATCACATTCCCATTCTTAAAAATCACAGAAATCATCACTTACTTCTTTGGATCTTATTGGCAATGCGATTAAAGGTAAGTCATAAAGTGAAATGTGAACATTTATAAGTTCGTTTTTCCTTAGAGGAAGATCATATTATGTTTGGAATGTTTTGAACCTAAAACATAGTAATTATCCTGTAGTACAACTCTCTAAGAACTGGTAACCCAAATATGATACATACAATATTTTCTTAAAAACAACTTTTAATAAAGTTCTATACCTCACTTCCTGACCGTATCAGTTATCAAAAAACTGAGTAAAAATAAAACAGCCTAGTACTCTTATAGTCTGTAATATTGACAATGAAAAATGGGGGGTAAATTTTTAATTATGTGACTGGGCAAAAACATCAACTTTTAAAAAGCCAAAGTGATCCTTATGTGTATCACTTATTCAAGATTTCTTTTCCCTTGTAGCAAAAAGGAAAACATAACATTACCTAATTAAAGCAATTTTAGATATTTTACAACATGTGTGAAAGATTTTTCGATAGAACATAAACTTGAACTCACTAAATACTCTCTGGGTTGTAATTTTAGAGATCTTGGAACTTTGGGGATAATTTCCACTGAAGTTATTCTGACTACTGCATGCATTTCTATATTTAGTCTCTTTCTCAAGTCGTCTGGAATCTGAAATTCAAAAATAAAAATATAAATATGTTCAAAGCTTGATTAAAAAATATTTCACAGCATAAATGTTGGCATTTCCTTCTATGAATTCAGGTGAAATTACCACAATGATTCGCTGTACAATGAGATGGATGTTCAAGTATTGCTACACTACAAACATCTTATTTTTCCCTACATTTCTTTCCTTCCCTTTACATCCTCTTTAGAATTACAGCTTTGAAAGGATGTATTTGACTCTATCTACAATACCCATAGCTTCAACTGTGGTATAATTACCTCAAATTAAGTACAAATTTGCAATCTTTGGACAATTGAGAGTCAATAAAAAAGATGGAGTGATCAAAGCTAATCACAGTTTGCCATGGGCCCCATTACATCCAGAGAGAAACTTGATCTAAAAGGCAAAGGGTACACTTTCCACCCCACTAATGAAAATGTTCTAAACTTAGATGGTTAAACAACTCTGCGATTACACACACAAAAAAACTACAGAGTTGTACAATTTAAATTATATCTAAATTAAGATGTTAAAAAATTCTCAGCTCCTAATAGTGGTTTGGAATCCTGGTGTGGCACTGTGGGTTGGACCTTGCATTGGACTGCAAGGTCATTTTGAACTGCAAGGTTGGTGGTTCAAGCTCACCAGCCACTCCTCAAAAATTCTACACAGGTTTACTATGATTCAGAACCGACTCAAAGGCACTTAATGAAATATTGATATGCATTAAAAAACAAACTCCCAATACTTTCTATTTATGATCTCTAAAGACCATATAAATGCATATTAATAAAAACTCGAAGGTGCATGTCCTTAGCTAAAGAAGTTATTAATCAAGCTTCCTGTTTAAGAAACAAAACAAAAATCACCTTACTTTATTACTAGGGTAATAAAGGCCTAAATCAACACGAATTTAAAGGTCAGATATTTCCAAGGGACCAATTTTGATTTAGCAAACCAAGCTTGTTTGGGAGGCTGCTTTCCCGTGGCTCCTGTACCTTTAGAGCAGAGTAGGAAGCACAGACTCCTCACTGCTCTCTTCCTGGTCCCCAGGCCCCATCCTCACTATGCAATTTCCAAGAAATAAAAGGGTATGTACTCCTGCCTAATGGCGGAACCATTCATAGAAATAGAGAAATCATGACATGCTCAGTGTTAAGACATTTTGAATTTAGGATGCAGTGGTGGTGGTGGTTATGTGCCGTGGAGTCGCTTCCGACTCATAATAACCCTGTACAGGGTTTCTGAGGCTGTAAATCTTTACCGGAGCAGAAACCTCATATTTCTCCCATGGAACAGCTGGTGGTTTCGAACTACTGACCTAGAATCTCCTAAATGTCTAGCTGTTTAGCACTAATAGGAAACAACAATAGAGCTAGTAGGAAAGGATGTAGGCCACAGAGATGGAAACCTGGTAAGTGACAAGTACAAAAGTAACAGGTAAAATTGTAGATGGTATAGCTCTAAAAGGGGACTCCTTTCCTTCCTGACTTCCTTCACAGTGGCACAGAATCGGGCTCATTACCCCTAAATTTAGTAATATCCAAGGCTAGGACAAGGAGCGACACTAGCTGCTCTATTTCTTCTTCCAGTAAGATAAAATCTAAAGAGCCGCTGTCAGCCGGGTAATCAAATCCTGGCTGCATTCCAATCCCTGTGTCATCTCTGGCAGCAGACACTTAACTCAGGCTGAGGGGCTCTTCCTACACTGGGCATTTTCCTCAAGACATAACAAGTCACTCCTTTGCTTTCAAGATTTGGGAATACATTTTCTGTAAGCACGGAAGATGTACTGTAGGCCTTGTAGGTTATTTCATGCCACGCATGAAACCTATAGCCAGTCTGCCTGGGTTTAAGTCCAGGTCTACCACTTACTAGTTGTGTAATGCCTGGCAAGTAATTTTGACCTCTCTGAGCCTCAATGTCCTTATTTATAAAACAAATCACCATTGTACTATTGCACCAAGTTGTGAAGATTAAAAGAGTAATGAGATTAGAACAATATTTAACGCACCAAAAACCAAACCACTGCCACTGAATCGCTTCCAACTCATAGCAACTTCATAGGACAGAGTAGAACTGCTCCTCTGGGTTTCTGAGACCGTAGATCTTTATGGAAGCAGACAGCCTCTTCTTTCTCCCATCGAGCAGCTGGTGGGTTTGACTTTGTTGCTGACTTTGTAGTTAGCAACCCAATGTGTAACCACCCTACTACACTACCAGAGCTCCTTACCTAATACACTGAATGTGCTAAATGAGGACCAGCTCTAATTATTACCGTAAATAGAAAAAATCTGAGGTCAAAATACATACAATTAATTAATTAACCAAGTGAAAAGAAAAAAGAAATCATTGAAGTGTAAATGTTAGACACCTATAAAATATGCAATATGCGCTAGTTCATTTGTGTCACTGCATATTACACATGTACCATCCTAGAATATATCTTCATTAAATGAAATCTAAAACTGAGGTCTCTATAGCAAATGAAAAAGATATACCCTTATTGTACCTTTCCAAGTTTCTTTAACCAGAAAAAACACCATCTGCACCCAAACAAAGACTTTACCCTGTGATCTGCAACGTGATCTCTCAGGGACATTAAACACTGTGTTTCTTATCATGGTGGGTTTTGAGTTCATATAAAACATTATCCTAACTCACAATTTGGGGAATCAACATAAAATTATTTTCCTCCTAATTATAAAGTTTGCACTAACCCAGACTTTACCAAGATGGAGAGCTTCTATACTTTTGGTGTATTTTATGGCTTTCTTCAATTCCTCAAGTCCATTCCAGACTATCTTTAGTACACAGGTCTTACCAGCTTCTTCACTATGGTTTGAGTTCATTTGGTTTTGATCTAGTGGTTCTGATATCTGCTTCTCTTTCTCGGGTGACAGGACATTTTGCTTTGTTTTACTTTGTTGTTGCTTTGGAGAAAGTAGTGTAACTAACTTTCCATAGGTCACGGTAAGGCTGGGCTCCACATCAAAATATTCCTGGTCCCATGGAAATACATGAATGGCAGCATGTTTGTGAAATGCAGAAGTTGCTGGTGTGTTGCGTGTACTGGGAGGCTGACATTTACATACTCTGAAAGTATTATTTAAAGGAACAACTTTTGACTGCATATTTTTGAATGCAGTGATTTCAGTTAAACCCCAGGACGTCATGGGTTTCTTCTCAGATCCAAAGGAAAAAAGGCTTCCAATCATAGTCCATAAGCTTGGTGTCAATGAGGAGTCCACTGTAAGCTCTGGATCTATCTCATTAGATCCAGTGACGCCCACAGTGTGAGACTGAAGTTGTTTGGTTTGAAGTTCTTTTGTCATTCTTTCTTGGTTTCTTCTATGATTATGAAAATGTTCTTGTGCCTCATCTGCTTTTGCTTTGGCTTGGCGGGTCTTTGGCTGAATAAGGAGGTGGGTGTCAGTTTCCAGCCTTCCATAGGTGGCAGTTGGCATGAGTGCAACTGTGTGGGAAATAAAGATCATTAGTGCGCATTTACCTCTCTGCTTTGGACTCAGTGTCATAGTGTAACGTATGATGGCAAATGTCACAACCCATGGAGGTCAAGTTGGTTCCAACTCATAGTAACTCTCTAGGACAGAGTAGGGCTGCCCGTAGGGTTGCCAAGACCATAATCTTAAGAGTCCTGGTGTGACACTGTGGGAAAAAGCACCGGACCACAAGGTCAGTTTGAACCCCAAGGTCAACAGTTCAAGCCCACCAGCCGCTCCTTGGAAACCCTATACAGGGTCACTATGAGTCAGAACCGAATCAACATCACTTAACAACAACAACAACATTAACAGAAACAGACTGCCACATCTTTCTTTAGTGGAATGACTGGGATTTGAACTGCTGATCTCTCAGTTGGCAGTCAAGCATTTAGCCACTGTGCCACCATGATTCTTAAATATCATAATAAGACCTACCAATCTGTATAAAAATGTAAGTTTGCTGATCAACCCAAACAGGAAAAATGGCTTTTGGAAAAACTATTCGGATCTGATCTAGAAGATGCTGTTCAAGGGAAGCAGCATGCAGCTCCTAGAAAGGAAAGGAAACAAGATCAAGTCACTTTATATTTTGTCTAGTAAAGCAATCTCCATTTACACTTAAAACTTAAATCAACTCAGGACATTTAGTGAAGCACAGAAAAGAGAAATGGAAAGCAGCTCATATTTTGAAACAGTTTAAGCTTACAACAGGATGGTTTGGGTGTATGTGCATGTGTGTTTTTACCAGTATTTCCCAATCGTCTGCTGAGAGGGGTTCCACCTCAACTTCCTGACAAGATACCACATGGGAACATGGCTTGAGGAACATCTGGAAAACAACACAAGAAACCCCAAAACTTAAAAACTACCTTTGAAAAACTTTTTACCACAATTAAGAAAAAGACATAGACACACTTTCATTTAACAAATATTACATGCTTAAGCTTGAGTCAGGTCATCATTATTTTAGGAAATACTGCTTTACAACTAATTACAGAATAAAGGAAAATACATCCCAAAACTCCTCCTCAAAATATTAAAAATAATCATAAGAATAAAAACTGCAAGTATAAAAGGCAAGAAGAAATGAAAATGGCATGAAATCATGACTTGCTCCAGTACAAAACAAAAACCAAGCCAGCTGTCACTTGAGCTGATTTTGACACATGGCCACTTGATGTGCTCCGGAAGATTTTCAAGGCTGTGACCCTTTAGGAAACAGATTGCCAGGTCTTTCTTCCAAGGTGCCTCAAACTGCTAATCTTCCAGTGTTAGTAGTTGATGGCTTAACCATTTTGTGGCACCCATTACTCTCCTGATCTAGTATGTACTCTCTTGATTATTGCTAGAAGTTTTGCAGCCATTAGTTTTATAACTAACACCAAGTCACTGTACTTCTAGAAAAATGAAAAAGACACTCTGAAATGGAAATCAGAGCCAATTATTTTGAAGTATAATCCTGTTGTTGTTAGGTACCATCGAGTTAGTTCTGACTCACAGTGACCCTCTGTACAACAGAACAAAACACTGCCTGGTTTTGCAGCATCCGTGTAATTGCTGCTACACTTGAGCCCACTGCTGCTGCCAATGTGACAGTCCATCTCATTGGGGGTCTCCCTCTTTTTCGAGCTCCCTCCACTTTACCAAGTATGATGCCCTTTTCCAGGAACTGGTCCCTCCTGACAACATGTCTGAAGTATGAGAGATAAAGTCTGGTGATGTTGGCTTTTAAGGTGCATTCTGGCTGTACTTCTTCCAATGCAGACTTGTTTGTTTTTCTGGCAGTCCATGGTACTTTGGGGAGAGTGGTGGCTCAGGAGAATGAGCACTGACTTCAAACCACAAAGTCGGCAGTTGGAGAGACATGAGGCTTTCTGCCCCAACAAATCTTTATAGCCTCAGAAACCCTATATAGGGTCTCTATATGTTAGAACTAACTTGTTAGCACTGAACAACAACAACAGCAATAAATGTTTTACAATTGAAAGTGAAAAATGGCTCTTCCCTTTCCTGAACCCTGACCTTTATTACACAACTCATGGAGAAAAGATTGAAGTTGTCAAATACCTCATTTTGCTTGGATCCAATACAAACACACATGGAAGCAGTCAAAATATCAAACGAAATATTGTATTAGGCAAATCTAGTGTACAGACTTTAAAGTGTTCAAGAGTAAAGATGTCAGTTTGAGGTCTAAAGTATGCCTGACCCAAACCATGGCATTTTCAATAGCCTCATATACATGTGAAAGTTGGACAATGAATAAGGAAGACTGTAAAAGAATTGCTACATTTGGGTTATGGTGTTCATATTGAAAGTCTTCCTTATTCATTGTTTTCCAGTGCTCATTCTTCTGAGCCACCACGCTCCCGAAAACATTTATAATGAACATGTATTGCTTCTGTAGTTTTAAACCTGTTTTAAAAAAGAAATAACATTAAAAAAAAAGTGAACACAATAAAAATTGAAGGATTTATAACCTACGCACTTTAAGTTCACACTCACTGCCATTGGGTCATTCCCAACTCATGGAGACCCTATAAAGGGTTTCTGAGGCTGTAAATCTTTACGGGAGCAGAAAGCCTCCTCTTTCTCCCATGGAACAGCTGGTAGTGTTGAACTGCTGACTGTGAGGTTAACAGCCTGATTCGTAACCACTCCGTATCTTTTTCTAGTGCTGTCACTGGTAGGTTTGAAGCACTGGCCTTGTGGTTACCAGTCTAATGTTTATAGTCAACACAAAAATGGAAAAATAATAAACCTCTTGTATAGTTTTGTTTTTTTTTCTTATAAATCAGGTATAACAACGTAATGGATTACAAGCTGGGCTGCTAACTGCAAGGTCAGCTGTTTGAATCTATCAGTCACTCTGCAAGAGAAAGATGAGGCTTTCTGTTATCATAAAGATTTACAGCCTCTATTGAAAACTACACCTCAAGAAGAAACAAACAATCCAATTAAAAAAGGACAGACACTTCACGAAGGAAGACATCCAAGTAGCCAACAAATAAATGAAGAAATGTTCATGATCATTAGCCATTGCTGTTAGATGCCATCGAGTTAGTACCAACTTATAGAGATCTTGTGCACAACAGAATGAAACATTGCCCAGTCCTGCACTGACTTCACAATCATTACTATGTTTAAATCCATTGCTGCTGGCACTGTGCCTATCTATCTTGTTTGGGTTCTTCCTCTTTTTCTCTGCCCTTCCACTTTACCAAACAGGATATTCTTCTCCAGGGACTGGCCCCTCTGACAATATTTCCGAAGTATGAGAGATGAAGTCTGGCCATCCTGGCTTCCAAGAAGAATTCTGACTGTACTTTTTTTTAAACACTGATCTCTTTGGCCTTTTGGCAGTCCACAGTACTTTCAATATTCTCCTCCAACACCATAACTCAAATGCATCAACTCTTCTATGGTCTTTCCTATCCACTTTCCACCTTTCACATGCATATGAGGTTACTGAAAATACCATGGCTTGGGTCAGGTGCACATTAGTCCTCAAACTGACATGTTTGCACTTGAACCCTTTTAAAAAGGTCTTGTACGGCAGATCTGTCTAATACAATATGTAGTTTGATTTCTTGGCTGCTGCTTCCATGAGTGTTGATGGCTGATTCGAGCAATGTTCTATGTCCTACTTGAGTGAGTAGTGTTTGGGATAATAAAAGCTCATGAGTGGTTAGCTAAGGTGCAGCTGTTGGTCTCTCTAGGTGTAGAAAAAGAAGAGTGATGAGAACTGAAGATGACCTGGGATCAATCAGTCCAATGGACTACCAGAACATGTGAACCTCCACAACTCTGAGACCAGAAGAACTAGATGGTGCCCAGCTCCCACTACTACCTGTCCTAAAAGGGGTCACATTAGAAGGTCCTGGATAGAACAGCAGAATATGTGCAACAAAACTCAAAATTATTAAAAAAAAAAAAAAGAAGAAATAAAGACTGGGCTTACTGGTAAGAAAGAGACTGGAGGAAACTGAGACTATAGCCTTTGACCACACTTCAGATTTGGAAAGGAACTCAGGAATTCAACCTTGTGGCCCAATTTTCAGCCAAGCAGTAGATAGGCATATATATGAGCAAACCTTATTAGTATTGTTGCTCCCACTATATATGATCTCTTAGTCATTAACAGAAAGGTAGGCAGCTGGAAGCCACCAGCCACTCTGAGAGAAAAGGTATGTTCCCATGGAGATTACAGCCTTGGGAATGCTAAGAAGACAGTTCTATTCTGTCCTATGGGGAATGAAGAGTTGGCATTGACTCGATAACACACAGTGACAGCATACTATGTAACATTAGAAGAAACTCATTATCATCACATTTTCTGCTTACCTGACCCCCATGTGAAAGTCCAAGCTTCTGACCAACTTGTCTGTTAATTTCAGCCACATGTTCACTTTGGTCTCTAAAGTGTCTGGCTTCCACCCAGCTCAGGAAGACAGGCTGTTGACCCCAGGTTACTTCTATAGCTTGGTTCTGTTCATTGAAGAAATAAATGGTGGGAAAAGTTTTAAAAATTTTTACAAGGTTTTCTGAAATCCACAGAAAAAGATAAGCTATTACTGAAATCCACATATACAAAAGATTCTTTAGAAGTTGATAGTTCTCTGTTATCTACATTGGTTATAGCATTAAAAAAGCTAGAACCATTTCCAATGCCCAATGCTGGCAATACTGTGGGTGAAAGTTATATATCCTTATGACAGCATTATAAATGGATTCAACCATTTGTGAATTCAAATGAAAGTAAGTAATGAACTTACGTAACCTTTGAGCCATATAGCTGGGGATTCAAAAAGTTCACAGATAAACAGTATTAAAAGATAATGGAACTTTTCCATGAACTTTTTGAATTGTTCTTGTATTACTATTTGCACAGTTATTCTACATTAATGATTCAAAAAGAAGAAAAAGAACTATATTAGAAAATATTTCTACAGCGTGATTTATATTAGTGAAATCTCAGGATGGTCTTAAATTTCTCAGAGAAATTATTAAATGTACTATAAATTTATTATTCCAGTAAAAATATGAGTCAAGTGGAAACTTATAACAATCTTAAAAAGAAAAACATACTTTTACAATTGTAAAACACCAACAGGATAAAATATGCATTTCCATATTTACTTATTAGAAGACTAATAAATGTGTCTGGTAAAAGTACACAGAACAGACCCGTTTTCCATGACTGTTAGTAACATCTTTTGGACTCTTCCAGCTATTTTATATAATTCAACTTCTTAAGTGACAATTTAAAAAGTTTATAAAACTATGGGAACATATTTATGATAAGCTAAAAAAGAAAATAAAACATTTATATTATGTCGTTAAGTGCCACTGAGTCAGTTCTGACCCATGGTGACACTGTCTAGGGTTTCTGAGGAGCAGCTAGTGAGCTTGAACTGGCACATTAACTGACAGAACCACAACAAAACTCCTATTTATGTTATTGTTGCTGCTAGATGCCATTGAGTCAGTACCGGCTCACAGCAACCCTATGTACAACACAACGAAAACACTGCCTGGTCCTGGGCCAACCTCACAATTGTTGCCACGCTTGAACCGAATGATGCTGCCACTTTGCCAATCCATCTCGCTGGGGGTCTTCCTCTTTTTCTGTTGACCCTCCATCTTACCAAACATGATGTCCTTTTCCAGTGACTGGTCCCTCCTGACAACATGTCCGAAGTATGAGAGATGAAGTTTGGCCATCCTAGCCTCCAAGGACCAATTTGGCTGCACTTCTTCCAATACAGATCTATTAGTTCTTTTGTCAGCCCATGGCACTTTCCATATTCTCCTCCAACACCATAATTCAAATGCATCAATTCTTCTACAGTCTTCCTTATTCACTGTCCAGCTTTTGCATGCATATGATATTACTGAAAATACTATGGCTTGGGTCAGGCTCACCTTAGTCTTCAAGCTGACATCTTTGCTCTTCAACACCTTAAAAAGTTCTTGGGCAGCAGATTTGCCTAATGCAATACATCGTTTCTTGATTGCTGCTTCATGAGTGTTGATAGTTGATCCGAGAAAAATGAAGTCTTTGAAAAATTCAATCTTTTCTCCATTGATAAGAATGCTGTTTATTGGTCCAGTGGTGAGGATTTTTGTTTTCTTTACATTGAGATGCAATCCACATCGAAGGCTGTGCTCTTTGATCTTCAGTAAATGTTTTAAGCCCTTTTCACTTTCAGCAAGCAAGGTTGTATCATCTACATATTGCAGGTTGTTAATGATTCTTCCTCTAATACCAATGGCAAGTTTTTCTTCATATAACCCAGCTTCTCGTATTATTTGCTCAGCATACAGGTTGAATAAAAAGCACACCTTTTTAAATTTTAAACCATTCAGTGTTCTCATGTTCTGTTTGAACAATTCCCTCTTGGTCCATGTACAGATTCCTCATGAGCACAATTAAGTGTTCCAGAATATTCATACTTTGCAATGTTGTCCATAGCTTGTCATGATCCACATAATCGAAAGCCTTTGTACAGTCAATAAAGCACAGGTAAACATCTTTCTGATATTCTCTGCTTTCAGCCAAGATCCATTGGACATCAGCAATGATATCCCTCATTCCACATCCTCTTCTGAATCAGGCTTGAACCTCTAGAAGTTCTCTATCAATGTATGCTTGTAGCCGTTTCTGTATTACCTTTAGTAAAACTTTACTCACATGGGATATCAAAGATATTGTCCGATGATTGCTGCATTCCGTTGGGTCACCTCTCTTTGGAATGGACACAAATATGGATCTCTTCCAACAGGTTCGCCAAATAGTTGTCTTCCAAATTTCTTGGCAAAGATGAGTGAGTGTCTCCAGTGCTGCCTCATGTTTTTGAAAGATTTCAATTTTTATTTCAGCAATTCCTGGTGCCTTGTTCTTTGCCAATTCCTTCAATGCACCTTGGACTTGTCTCTTCAGTATCATTGGCTCTTAAGCATATGCTACCTCTTGAAACGGTTGAACATTAACCATTTACTTTTGGTACAGTGACTGTGTATTCCTTCCATCTGCTCTTGATGCTTTCTGTATCATTCAATAATTTGCCCAAAGAATTCTTCAATAACAAAAGTCGAGGCTTGAATTTTTTCTTCAGTTCTCCCAGCTTGAGAAATACTGAGAGTGTTCTTCCCTTTTGGTTTTCTGACTCCAGATCTTTGCACATTTTGCTGTAATATTTGACTTTGTTTCTCAAGCTGACCTTTGAAATCTTCTGTTCAGCTCTTGTACCTCCTTATTTCTTCCATTTGCTTTAGCATCTCTATGCTGCAGAGCAAGTTTCAATGTCTCTTCTGACATCCATTTTGATCTTTTCTTTTTTTCTTTTCTTCTTAATATCTTTTTGCCTTCTTCCTGTATGATGGATCCCACAACTCTTCTGGTCTTTGGTCTTTAGTGTTTAATGTAATGTATCAAATCTGTTCTTCAGATGATCTCTAAATTCCAGTGAGATGTATTCAAGGTCATATTTTGGCTCTCATGGACTTTTTTTCGTTTTCTTCAGCTTCAGTCTGAATTTGCATATGACCACTTGATGGTCTGTTCCACAATCTGTCCCTGACCTTGTTTTGACTGATGATATGGAGCTTTTCCACGGTCTCTTTCCACAGTTGTAGTCAATTTGATTTCTGTGTATTCCATTTGGTGAGGTCCATGTGTATAATCGTCTCTTATGCTGTCTAAAAAAGGCAATTTGAAATGAACAAATCATAGTAAAACATAAATTATATAGGAGAACAAGCTGCTCCTCAGAAACCCTATACAGGGTCATATGAGTTGGAACCAACTCCATAGCACTTAACAACAACATATATAAATATGGGGCCAAGGATTATAAAACAATGTTTTCTATTATAAGAATTAAAACACACTACAGAAACCTTGGAAAATAAACTTAGAAGGAAAAAAAAGAATTACTGACATTCCCTCCAGAAAAAGACAAGCATGTCAACAATTTTGCCTATTTTCTGCTAATCCTTTTTCCTATCAGCACATGAACTTTTTCTACAGGTATATACTCATGTTATAGTCACAATTTAGTATCCTTTTCCTGAACTTAACATTATACCATAAGCATTTTCACAAATCCATAATTTTTAAACAAAAAGATTAACAGCAAACAAGACTCATCATCTCAGAAAGTTTCTTTATTATTAGATTTATCTATTCAGGTCACATTAAATTCACTAATGTAAGACTATTCTGCTCATTTACATTAAATGGGCCTCCATTTAATGGATGGATAATTTAGGCTCATAGGCTTGCTCACTGTGGGTATGAATCTGGTACCCTGTCTTACTTAGCTTTCATAGCAAGTCCTGAGCACGGAACACAGCAGGTAGCTGAGTTAAAGCTGGGGACAGTTTATCCTCCACATGCCAGGGATATTTAGCAAGGCCTGGAGATATTTTTCAGGTGTCACAACTAGTGGGTGCTACTGGCACGTCTTGTAGACAGAGACCAGGAATGATATTAAACTTCCCAAAATACAGTGGATAAAGAATCCCCACCCCCAGCCCAACAAAGACCTATATCCAGTACCAAATGTCAAAAGCACCCAAGTTGAGAAACCTCAAGAAAACAAGATCTGAAACACAGAGCCAAACCAAAATCAAACCGAGTGCCACCAAGCTGATTCTGCCTGCCCCACAGGGTTTCCAAGGCTGAAATCTTTATGGAAGCAGCTGCTTTATCTTCTCCCATAGAGCTGCCATTGTTGCTGTTGTTAAGTACTGTTGAGTTGGTTCTGACCCATAGTGACCCTGCATAGGGTTTCCAAGGAGCTGCTGGTGAGCTTGAACTGCTTTCAGTTAGCAGTCAAGTGCTTAACCACTGCATCAAGGCTCCTTGAATCCGGGGCAGGATATGACAAACGAGATATGCCATATAAACAGTAGTCAAGTTTTGAAAAGGAAGCAAATTTGGGAAACAGAATTTTGAAAGCTATGTGAAGGAGACAGCATTAAACTACATCTTTAAAGACATGGAATTTGTATGGAAGGAGGAAGATGTTTTAGGGACGAAAAGCACAGGTAGAGGAATGAGCTGAGTTATGGAAGAAATAATAGTCTGGATGATGCAGAGTGAGTTAGACGAGTGGGCGATTAATTGTTTGGGAAGAGTACTGGTCTGTTTCCTCATGTTTAAGAGAAAGGAAATGACCTATACACCTAACATCCATTCTGCTATTCATAGTCTATGAGTGTAGAAAGGCGAGTGTCAGCTTTTTCGTACATGCAAGCATCCTGAAGAGACTTTTAAAAATAATAGATGTCTGAAAGTCCAGTCTCCAATATTCTAATTCAACAGATCTGAGGAAGGACTGGTACATCAGTACTTTGTACATGTGTAGGACCTTATTTCTTTAAAAATAAAAAATTTGATATAAACTGTTAACATTAGTTATCTCTAGGTTCTGGGATTGCAGGTAAATATTTTCTTGGTTATAATTTTCTGTATATCCCAAATTGCTAATAAGCCACATGTACTATTTTTATAAGTGGGGAGAAAAGTGGTTTATTCTGCTGATATTAGCTGGATGGAAACAACAATTTGTTTAAAGGTTTAGGACATTTAAATTTAAAAAAGGTGGCACTGTACGAAAAGCACTGGACCACAAGATCAGTTTGAATGGCAAGGTCGACGGTTCAAAACTCACCAGCTGCTCCTCGGAAACCCTATACAGGGTCGCTATGAGTCAGAACTGACTTGACGGCACTTAACAACAACAACACATAAAATAATTTTTATGAATACTTACTGACAATTCTGAAAGCTCCAAATTTAAAACAAAGGTCAAAACCACTACACTCTTTAATCCACTACAATCTGATGAACTTGTCCAATACTTATGGATGTAGTAGATCAAAAGAGGTAACAAATCTTTACAGCGAGGATCATTTCATCCCCTCAGTACACAGGGTGGGCAACTTAGACATTAGCTACCCAAAATGGCGGGACTACAAATGCATGAAATAACTGGCTTACAAGTTTTCAAGAGGGAGCCTAGTTTCAGAAGGTACAGGGTTGGGGTAGGGGCAGGGGAAGTAAAATCTCCACTGAGTGGTTTCCAACCTGTCTGGACAGGGCTAGTGAAAGGAGATGGGAATAAGACTCTTGTGGTTTAACAGTGAATAACTGCTATCAGAACTGATTGTGAGTGTAGCAAATGTAAAGGTAGACATTTTGTAACAAAAGGAGGGGAGTGGTTGATCTTGCAGTCCAGGAGCAGAGGACCCTGGGACCATCAAGGGAGAAGAGTGGAGTGCAGGACCCTACCCAGAGAAGCAGTAACACCAGAGATGGAGGCAGAGAAATGGAACGGCTGGGGACTCTGGACTCAGGGAGAGAGAGGAGCTGAGTGCTGACTGCCGGGGATGCCCTTTGGTTGTTTAAATGGTTATATATTCCTGAGTGCTTTGGTGTACATCCAAAAAAAACCCCCAAAAACAGGAAAGAATGGAAGAAATGCTGTTGAATGATGATGTACGGAGGGAATTGTAATCATTGCAATGAAACGAAATACGATAGGATGAATGTAAAACTGATGTTCTCTCATGTAAACTATCACCCAATTCACAATAAAAACTAAAGAAAACAACACTGCACTCTAAAACAATGACTGAAACATAACATCCACATTTGTTGCTGTAAAGTGTCATTGAGTTGGTTCCTATTCATAATCACCCAGCCCTAGAATTTGCACTCGACCACAAGGTCCGTTTGAATCACAAGACGGTGGTTCAAACTCACCAGCGCTTCTTCAAAACTCTATACAGGGTCACTATGAGTTGGAACCTACTAGACTGCACTTAACAACAACAGGGTTTCGGAGGAGCGGCTAGTAAGTTTGAAGCGCCAACCTTATAGTTAGCAGTCCAATGTTTATCCTATAGTGCATCAGCAGAACATCCACATTTAGGATCAGAGTAACAGAGTTACTATAAAATAGCATTAAAAAAAATGTTTTATTGTGAATCATATGATAGTTTACATGGGAGAATATTAGTTTTACATTCATCCTATCATACAGTTTCATTGCCATGGTTACAAACCCTTCCATACATCATCAACCAACCAAAGGGTATATCCTACAATCCTGCCACCCCTGCCCCCTCCCTGCCCCCCAGTCATCAGCAAACAGCCCTTCTCCCTCTCTGGGTCTAAAGTCCCCAGCTGCTCCATCTCTCCACATCATCATCTCTGCCTCCATCTCAGGCATCACTGCTTCTCTGGGTAAGGTCCCGCTCTCCACTCTTCTCCCTTCATGGTCCTAGGGACCTCTGCTCCTAGACTACAAAGTTAATCACTCCCCTCCTTGTTACAAAACATCTATCTTTACATTTACAGCCCTCACAATCAGTCCTGATAACAATTATTCACTATAGTATCACAAGAGACCTATCCACATTTCCTTTCATCAGCCCTACCTAGACATATTGGATACTACTCAGTGGAGATTCTACCTTACTCCACGTCCTCTGGAAATAGGTTCCCTCTTGAAAGTTTGTAAGCCAGTCACTTCTTGTCTTTATAACCCCTCCCCCCTCCCCCCCCCCACCATTTTGGGTAGCCAATGTCCAAGTTGCCCATCCCTGTCTACTCTGTGTATGGAGGGGGTGGGAATGATCCTTGCTGTAAGGATTTGTTCCCTCTTTTGAGCTACTGCATTCATAGGTATAGGTCAAGTTCATCACATTGTATCAGATTACTCTTTATTTCCTCTTCTTTCTTCTTCTAGTTGAGTTCTGATCATCTAGCCATTGAAGCCAGGTCAAATGGGTATTATCTGTAAGTATGGGTGTTCTTGTGCATTTCCTCTTACTTCATATTAGCTGGATGCTTCACTTTCTGCTCTAGTCCTCTGTGGCCATGTCACTGCCTCTGTGCCCAGGTGTCAGCCAGGGATCACAAGAGTCTGTTGACCGTGGATGGACTTAGCTCTCAACTTCATTGCTGTTTTCCCCCACTACCCCTTATCGGTGACCAACTTGGTCACCAGCCAGACCACTTGCCTGCTCGTGTATTCCCCTTGAGTCTTAGTCTTGGAAGGGGGTTTGCTCTGAAGCAACCCGACCACTTGCCTTGATGGCTCCCAGGCAAACAGCTTGCTTGTTCTTATAGTAGTCAACTGCCGGTCTTTCTTTCATGAAGTATCTTCTGTTCTAGCCACTCCAGGCTGGTCTATTTGTCCTTTCAAATGGAAATTTCCCACCTCAGAAGATTCTGGGTGGGGTTCAGGAATCCACCTATGATCTTACGTAATGCAGAGGCTCCACAGGAAGCCTCCTTCACTGGGCAACTTCCAGTCCCCGTTAAGGTATTCCAATCAGTTACAGGTCAAAGACCGACTTACAGGCTTTCTATAGTGATAATTCTAGATATTCCTTTCTCTCCCCCTCAAGTGTCTATTTTACAGTGGTAGGAAAGGGAAACCAAGATTCAAAAGATGGCCAAGCATCTTAACATTATTCCCCTCTTTTACTCAGTTCCTGTATCCCAGAGCCCTGTTGTTCCAAGGTTGTGCATATATCATTATTTGCCATTGTCCCACTTAGCCCATGCAAACCTAACTGTTCTCCCATCCACCTTGTTCTTCCATTCTCCTCCCCCTTCTTGTGTAATGCCCCCTCACCTCCCTAGCACCCAAGCTATCCTGTGTCCATTCCCTGCACTGTGCTTAATCTTCCCCGCCCTCCCCTCACCTCATCCTGTACATCCCGGTGATCTGCAAATATATATGGGTTTTTTCCCCCTTTTAGGGTAGGTTTTTTTTCTTAATCTTTTACAATAATGGTCCTATGCAGTATTTCTCCTTTTGTGACTAATTTCACTCAGCATAATGTCCTCAAGGTTCATCCGTTATGTGGTGGCTTGCAGCTTTCCTGTTGTTCTTTAAGGTAGTGTAGTATTCCATTATGTGTATGTACCACAGTTTGTTTACCCATTCTTCAATTGAGGGGCACTTAGGCTGTCTCCATCTTTTTGCTTTTGTAAATAGTGCTGCTATGAACATTGGTGTGCATATATCTACTCGTGTTATGACTCTTATTTCTTGTGGGTAAATACCAAGTAGGGGAATTGCTGGATCATAAGGTGCTTCTATTTCCAACCTTCTGAGGAAACGCCATATTGCTTCCCAGAGAGTTTGGACCATTTTGCAATCCCACCAGCAGTGCAGGAGTGTCCCAGTCTGTCCACATCCCTTACAGCATTTATTGTCCTCTACTTTTTTGATCTTTGCTGTTTTTGCTGGTGTGGGATGATGATATCTCATTGTTGTTTTGATCTACATCTCTTAAAGTAGCATTGTTACAGACTCATTAGATGAGTATCTGAAAATCTCCAAAAAACTGATTTCTGAGAACACCCAACAAAGCCTATCTGGGGCTTTTAGTAACCCTGGAAGAAGTACTTCAGGACCAAAAGATTGCTTACTTTATGGTCAACCAACGAATTAATCAATAATGGAAGGATTCTGAATTTGGTATAGACACAGAGAATAAAAGTAGGAAAACAATTACAAGAAAGTAAAGTGAAAAGGTGAGATACTTAAAATTATTGCAAACTCTTACACTATCTCTAGCATATATTTTGCCAGTATTGAATCATGTATCAAAAGGTCTGGAAGTTTTCAGTCTATCCTTTTGTACACTCAAAATTTGTGAGACCACGTCTCTAGTCTTAATTATGAAAATATGGAAGCTGTAGGTATCCTTCTGGTTGAACCTGTGCAACACCAGAAGTCCAAGTAATCCTAACTATGCCTTTGCAAGTCTGCCCAATTCCACTGCACATTGGTGGTACACTACCGTCTTTTATTAACCTCTCGCACTAGTGTGACGTGCTCAGTCTGTCAACGTATGAAAAACTCCGCAAAGTCCGTCTCTTCCCTCTTGAGGGTCAGACAGTAGCAGTGCAGGCACCTGGAGATCTTTGGCAGGAAAATATTTAAAAAAAGAGAAAGAGACTTTTCAAAAGCTTTCCCAACCCGTGGTGAGGAGTATTCCTGAGTGCAGAGATTTGTAAAAGTCCACTCTCACCCAGTGAGACTTGGAAACCAGGCAAGTTCGCTTAAGGCTGGGTGTGGGGTGCGCGGACTGCTCAGACCAGCCCTGCCTTCGAGGGGCCTACAATCGGACCTCCGTACGGGCCGTCGGCGGGGAGGGCAGAACTGCCGCCGTGTCCTACACGGTCTCGGCCAAGTCCATCCCCAGACGACAGTCCTGGTGTCCCCGGGCCGGTTCCCCCGTCCCGGGTCAATGCGTTACCTGCAGCAGGCGCAGCTGGGCCACGAGGCGCCGAGGCAGGTGGAGGAAACAGTCGCGAGTGTTAGTGAAGGCCACTGTCACGGCCGCCCCACCTCCCCCTGCACCCGACGGGCGATCGCTGCCCCACATAGCTGGAGAGCGCTGCTGTCCGCCAGCCCACACTAGAACCCTGGCTGACCTGGATCTGGACAGGCGAGGGCGTCCGATCCGGAGAAGATCGATCGGCCCCGCCCCCCTCCCTGCGGCACACCTGGCTGTGCGCCAGTTCCGGGAAAGGCAAGCAAGCTTTCATTCATTGTCTTACGCTCACCGCCACGCCACTGAGGGGCGACAGCCCGTTCGCCGTTATCCAGGCTTGCAGGAAATGATGGCCGACGCTGTCGATTCTCCAGCCAATCCGGGCGTGCCTTGATACATCCCATTTTCTTATTGGATAAGCAAGAGCGCGACAAGGCGGATATTGTGCTCCCAGCGTTGCTGAAGCTATTATCATGGCGTCGAGTGGCGGGGAACCTGGGACCTTATTCGATCATCATGTCCAGAAGGCTGTATGCGACACGCGAGCCAAGTATCGGGAGGGTCGCCGGCCCCGTGCTGTGAAAGTAAGTGGTTCCATTTGCCCTCCTGGTAGCTTCTTGTGTGCGGGCTTGCTCCACCTTCCCAGCATGTAAATAGAGACTTGACAACACTGTTGTCAGGTCCGCCCTTCCTTGGAGTTGGAGTTGGGTGTGAATAACAGAAACGTGGAACCTAATCTGTACTTTGTTGTTCTTGTTATGTGCCGTGGAGCCGGTTCCGACTCATAGCGACCCTGCATAGGGTTTCCGAGGCTGTAAATCTTTACGGGAACAGAAAGCCTCATCTTAATCACGCGGAACCGCTGGTAGTTTTGAACTGCTAACCTTGAGGTTAGCAGTTCGATTCTTAACCGCTACTACAGCGTGGTAAGCACGCAGTCTTTGTCCTAGAAACACGAGCCACTTCAACCAGTCTACCATCTAAGAAAATTGTCACTTAAGGTAGTTTGATGTATACTTTAGTTTGGGACCTTCAAGCATTGGAAGAGTTACGTATGCAGAGGCATTGGCAAGAATTTTGATTTTGTATGTTTTCTGTGGTCTGTGCTGAACAGAATAATTAATTTTTTTTTAAATAGGTCATATTTGTTCTAGGCTTCTTTATGAAAATGTTTAATGAATTTGCATTTCCTTTAGGTATATACAATCAATTTGGAGTCTCGGTACTTATTAATACAAGGAGTTCCTGCCGTGGGAGCCATGAAGGAGTTGGTTGAGCGCTTCGCTTTATATGGTACAATTGAACAGTATAATGCTTTAGATGAGTACCCAGCAGAAGACTTCACAGAAGTTTATCTAATTAAATTTCTAAATTTACAGAGTGCAAGGTAATATGGAAGTTAAGAAGCGTCTCATTTCCTCCATTCCCATTGCTATTGCTCTGGTCTCAGGTTTCCCACATTTTTAGGTGAACTAACCCTGTGTTTCTCATTATCTTCTAGTCTTCTTGAAAATTGTGGTGGTGGTGGTGATTTGCCAGCAAGCTGATTCCCATTCAAAGTTCGCCTTACCAAAACTCTGTTTCCATTACATCACTTCCGTGCCTAACAGCTTTTCACTGTGTAGTATATATAGTAGGTCTTTTGGTGTAGCACTGTGAGTTAATGCTAGACTGCAAAGTTGCTTTGGACTTCAAGGTTGGCGGTTCAAGCTCACCAGGTGCTCCTTATACAGGGTTGCTATGGGTTAGAACCGATTTGATGGCACTTAAGAACAAGAACAATACAAGGTTAGAAATTGAGCTTGGAGTCAGTTTTCTAGTCCCACTGCTTATTACTTCCATTACCTTGGACAAATTAACCTCTTTAAGCCTATTTTCTGCTTCTGTTAAATCTGTTTGGTAACCTTGTTGAAGTTGTGTAAGGAAGGATGAAATGAGATGATTTATATAAAGGACTCTTAGGAAGAACCCCCAAGGAGATAGATTTACACAGTGGCTGCAGCAGTGGCCTCAAGTATGACAACAATTGTGAGGATGGTGCAGGACTGGGCAGAGTTTCGTTCTGTTGTACATTGGGTCTTTATGAGCCGGAACCTACTTGAAGGCATCTAACAATAAGCACAGTGCATCCTATTCCGAATGAAGTAACACTAACTGTTGAAATTCTTATTGTTATGGCCCTGTGTAATGAGCCTGCTATTTAATACAAACTCTCTGCTCTAATAAGAACGAAGTGGAAACTGCCTCATCTGGATTTCAGGTTGACCTTTATACTTGTCACTTATGTGCTTTAAGAACCATCCTTCCCTAGCTAAAACAATTTATATTTTTCCTACTCAACAGCACTTAACAGCAGTAACAACCAGTTGCACTCTGAGTCCTGGTGTGGCACTGTAAGATAAGCACTGGACTGCTAACCAAGATCAGCAGTTCAAACCCACCGGCTGCTCCTTAGAAGCCCTAAACTGGGTTGCTGTGAGTCGGAACTGACTTGATGGCACTTAAAAACTAATAGCATTCAGAGTTTGTCACCAAAGCACTTGAGTCTATAGGATCGTTTGTTCATTTAAGGCTCCTGCTTTTATGTAATGTCATTTCCAAACCATCTTGCCCGCTTCTCCTGGCATTTTCTAGAGTTTTGATACCTTTTTCAGTGGCCTCCACATTAGACTTCTGGATATGAATCCCACCTCCACCAAACCAGTTGTGTGACCCTGGCCAAATCCTGTAATCTCCCTGTGCTTCTCGTTCACTTTAGGGCCATTTTGAAGCATAAATTCAAGTGAAGCTTTGAGGACAGTGTCTAACATGTGATAAACTATTGAAAAGTATTTCTTTTTATTATCTTTGAACAGAGTTGTTTTGTGCCATTGAGTCGGTTCCAACCCATAGCTACCTTTTACAGGGTTTCCAAGGAGCAGATGGTGAGCTTGAACTGCCAATCTTGCGGTTCAAACCGACTTTGCAGTTTAGCATTGACCTACAGTGCCACACCAGTACTCCTTGAACATAGTAATACTGTATTATGTGCCATATATGATGAGTGTGGTGGCTCTTTGGTAATATTTTAATTTTTATGTATGAGTCCTATTGTAGGAACCATTCTGCTGAAAAGGCTAGATTGCATATGAACTAAATCTCAAGGACTTTAGAAGAGCACTGGACTGTGAACTACAAGGTCAGCAGTTCAAAGCCACCAGCTGCTCCTTGAGAACCCTGTACAGGATCGCTTTGAGTTGGAACCAGTTCGATGGCACTTAGCAATAACATTTAGCTGGGTATAGAGAAAATCATATTTCGTGACTACGGAATGTGTGCCTCAGGCCAGCCAGCTGGGTGTGAATACACAAGAGAGCTTTAAAGAGTTTGTGGGAAAATTCTGTTATCTTTCAATTCCATTTTTTTTTTTTTTTTGGGTAAAGTTTTTGTTTTAAATTATGTGTGTTTACATGGGAGAACACCAGCTTACGTTCATCCTATCATATTTCATTTCATTGCAATGATTACAATCCGTTACATGCATCATCAAACAACCAAAGTGTACACCCCACAGCCTGCCCCCTGGCCGTCAGCACACAGCCCCTCTGTCTCCCTGAGTCCAGAGTCCTCAGCCGCTCCATCTCTCCATGTCATCATCTCTGCCTTCATCTCTGGCGTCACTGCTTCTCTGGGCAGGGTCCCGCACTCCACTCTTCTCCCTTGATGGTCCCAGGGACCTCTACTCCTGGACTGCAAAATCAATCACT